ACTGTAGGGAGTAATTACAGCCAGTCGTCCACCCACTAAACACTGTTCCTACAGTATGTTTAAGGCGCAGGGCGTGCTGCTGCAGAGCTCACAGTTACACAACATGCAGCTCGAGGCTAAACTCTGGAAAGACATAATGAAAATCAGACAGGTTTACTGAAGGAGCTGAAAGTTACATCTGCAGGCCATCATAGAGCACAGAAAACTACAACTGAATACCGTCACACACAATCATCAGGCCCTGAAGGCAAAACTGTTACTTCCAAACACACCGCTAATGACTGTTATCCAACTTTAACCTGACATGGTATAAGATAGTGACACACACTGTCAATCCTGAGATCAAATCCAGAAGTTAGTGAAGAGACTTGATTATAAAAGGACTTAAAGTTTAAGCATTCAATAAAATAAAATGTCAGGAGTTTGTTTTTGTCTTTTATGAGAGAGACTAAATCCCTGCATGGCTTCCAAAAGTCCATTTACTGCTACAAGTATCAATGACAAAAGTTGTATAATTACCTATATTATTCATAACTAAATTTATTTTTTAAAATTAAAACAAAACAAAACATAAATTCAGACTTGTGAAAGCTTTATTCCATTTCTTAAAACTAAAGAGAGAGAGGCGCACGAGGCTAATTTCAGCTTAAAGGAAGCTAGCAAGAGTTAGCCAAACCGCCAAATACGTTAAACAACCGTTTGAATTACGAACTTCCGGTCAGGACTCTATCAGGCAGAAAACACAAAAATCTTCACCTCACCGCCACTGAGGAGCTGTCTCCATATTTAAGGACATACCCATCCTCCATTTAGGCTAACAAATTAGCTAACAGGTGTGGCTAATGTCAGGGAGTCAGGTTCAGCTTGAAACCGACCCTGGTGCGCGGTATCCGGTTGTGTGTGTGTGTCCACACTCACCACTGTTTGGAGTTCTTCCTTCAGCCAGGATTCAGGAACACTTGTCCTGCTTCAGCGCTTCATCACAAATCATCCTTCCAAATATATCCACAGGAGACCTACTTTCACCCCTTCACCTGCATGGCGTCTGCACTGTGCGTGCTCGCTCCACAGCGCCCTCTGCAGTCACGCAGCGTGCTGTGCTGAGCTGCATGTTTCAAGTAAAGGAAGAGCCAGGGTACAAACAGCTAAATTCAAATACCATGCACACCGTGCTTACTCATGCTACTCTCCATGAACTGTAGGAGGTATGACACAAAGTGGTTAGCGTACAGTACCACAGACACTGGTTGTATTTATTTTTTATTTGTAGTTTTCTATAAGGGTGTAAGAGGTCAGACTGAATTGGTCTGTTCAGGTCCTCAGGCTATATTTTGTATCTATTTAATGTCAAACAAGCAACAGCAGAAACTTTTCATTTATCAGTTTCATGAACTCGCTCATTGTTAAAGGGGAAAGAGCAACGATTCATTTGGTAAGGCATTACTGTTCATAGACAAGGTGAAGGAGCAGTGCTGATCAGTTCACCTGATATGTCTGAGAAAACACTCATTAATCTCTACCAAAGACAGATTTTCACTTTAAATTGGATGAAACAAGAGGTCATATGTCATATCAAGCTCATGTTAAAATAATAAAGAAAGCCTGCTTTACATGATGAGACTTTTCTGCTTATTTAAAGTAGGGAATAGTTTTGATGGATATAAAAAGTAAGACTGTGTTGAAAAACACAACAATTCTGTTTAAGGCACTGCTTATTTAAATAGTTTTGTGAATTTTGTGAAATCGGCTGATATTTTCTGTTTGACTTTGTAAAAAGTTTGAATTCATTTTTATGTTCGTTCAACTCAAATTCAAATTTGAACTTTTCCTTTTTAGGCTGCAGGACTGAATAAAAACAAGCTGTTCTAACTTTAAATTTCACATTTTTTAATTTCATCTGTTTGTAGTTTTTGCTGCACGTTAAATGACGTCTGCAGAGGTGAACTACAAAGCGAGCTGCATTCAGAGATAATCTGATTATCAGTCTCCTCGTCAAGACCTTGTTTGTGTACATACCAGCAGATCTGGCAGCAAATCAGGAACAACAAAAGTAAAGAGAAATATTTGTACAGTTTCAGCACGGCCAGATGAATGCATGTCGGTTCTTGTTTCAACATGATGCATACAGTACGTGCTGTAAGGCTTTGTTCAGAAGCACTGATACCATACAGCTCAACGGGTTTACATTTACACACAGCCCCTGGCTTGTTACAGCTATAACAAGCCAGGTATTTAACTTGGTAAATACCTGGCTCTGGTATTTAACTCTGACGCTTTTAAATGTTGAAAATACTCCTGAACCTTCTGAAATTAACTAAAGTTGTCGGCCCAATCTGAAGAAACAAAAACTATGAGTTTAACTGCCAAAAATATCTACTGTGTATTGTCCTGAAGAGATACCGACAGAAGCTAAAGAAGGGCTGAACTGTACTATGAGTGTAATACGGGTTTGTACCACAAGATGGTGCTGTGAGTGAACACAGCTTTATTTTAAATGGAAGGTCAGGAGAAGGGTTAAATTGAGCTGAAACAATAATTAAATCTGATTGGAAGTTTCATACAAAGTACGAATGAGTTCATTTTCATGTGCTGCAGTCTAGCACACACTCTGTCTGCCAGCTTAGGGTATGTAGCTGTATTTTCCAGAGAGGGGATGTTTGCCTTCTTTGCATCCATCATAGTAAAAGTCCTGCAAATGAAAAATCCTTCACAAGACCAGAGGTATTCTAAACCTACCGAGCGACATTAATGATGAAAATGTCAGAAGTGAAAAACTTCCCAGAGTATCGAATGTTTTACTGCTGTAACTGAAACCAGCAGAAAGAACATAAAGCACTGAAACTCTGGGGTGGAGCCGACTTTTAGTCCAGTACTGCACCGTTTGAGAACACTTCAAATTATGTTTACTTTACTAACATTTATTTTAGTGATGTCTGATATTCTGAAGGAGAACTGTAAAATAAATGTCAAGTAAAAATATAACATTTCGTCTTAAATGAGATGGAGCAGAAGGATAAAGTAGCATAAATTACTGTGTATTATAGTATTTCTGTGCACTGCTAAGGTACATTACAGTGTACAGGTGTAGTTTAAAAACATCTGTCCACTGATTGGTGGTTGCATTCTGAGGGCGTTTTAGGTTCTGTTACTCTGCACAGGTCTTGAGTAACAGTATCAGACGTAATGAAGCAAGTTTCCCTCAGACATTAAAAGTAAAGCATCAAAAGAGTAAAGCAGGTAGAATAAAGAAGCACGGAGACAGGTGGGCTCATTCAGAAAAACACTCCTCACATTTATTGACTCTTGGATCTCTGGGCCGAAGCCAAAGCTAACACACATTTGGCACAAAGACAGACACGATTCATTGGATTTTTCCAAACAACGGCCCGAATCACAGGCCTAACAGACGAAGACCTGCCGCTGTGCAGAACGTTCCCCTGTCTCAGAGATTCAGGCATCACTGCGGCAATGATCGACTGGACACGGCGAGGTCATCCCCTCGCATCCACCGCATCAGCTCCAGGTTCAAGTATGTTTACAGTGCGAAGACCTCTCTACAAGCAGCGACATGTTTCCTGTTATCACAGCTGCACCACGAGGCGACAGCAGAGACGAAGCAGATCACAGCAGCCTGCTGCAGCCACTCAGCGTGCACTTAATTCAGGTCTTTGCACTTCAGTTATTTACACATGCGCTGCTACTTTGTGTTAGCTTTTTCAAGGGGTAGCTTCAGCCTAACATGCAACGAGGAAGGAAAAAGAACAGAAGAAAGACCAAAATGTCTGGTTTGTGCTTGGGATGCCAACTTTACCTGTGTGAAGTTACAAAAACAGGATGCCACAAAAAATATGTATCGGTCGTTTTAAAGCAAAGCTGATTAATTTTTGAATCAAAATATTACAGGATTCTGAGATGTTCTCAGGCGCTTTGTTTTAAACGAAGGACAAAATAAAAATGTGTCAGTTCAGCGAGCTGGAACAGGCGTTGGCGTGTTTACTGAGGTTGAGATGTTGACATTTCTGTGAGTCAGGTGGCTTTGCAAAGACTTTTATTTACTCTGAATGTCTTAAATCCTGCACTCTAGTAAAATGAAAAACCTAACAGCAGCTATACTGTTAGGCAGGGGGTTTCAACTTAAAGATCAATAAACTGAAAATGAAAATTCTTTGGAAAATAAAGAAACTGTAACCTTCTTCCATCCTGCAGCTTCCTGTGTGACACTCACAGAGTTTTATAATTAGCTCACTCCGGCTGAAATGTTTTGAAGTGCAGGTCAAAGATTGATGTCGCTTCTGGGTCTGAAAAGTGAAGCCAGTGCAGAGCGTATTATTTCTAATGGCCAGCAGGGGGCGTCTCCTCTAATTGTAAAAACAAAACCCTATATTTGGATTTGTATGTATATGATTATTCTATATTTATTTCCTGATGAGTGCATCGTCTAAAACTCTGGTTTCAAGTTTTACTGAATACAACACGATGTTCATTTTGGAAATTATGGTCCCCTTTAAACTAAAACAGAGGATAAAGCCGGCTATGATTTACGGCACAGCTCTCTTGCGACTGTCAGAGCCACCTCAGCCCGAGGCTTCAAACACGATGCTGTCTTTTATATACAGTCTATGGAGCATCAGCACTGTGGAGAACAGTGAGATCTCATGTCAGTTTTTTGTTCTGTGTGCTTTCTGGATCGAGAGGCCGACGGGACTTTGAGGGTGAAGCTGAGCGGCTGCAGATGCTGCAGATTTGTGATCGGCTGACAGAGTAAAAGCAGCTCGATGAGACGTTAAGGCAAAAAAACATTCTTTGGCAAAACAAGAGAAAACTAAAGAAACATCACACAAACATGTTTGCCTGCTGGTGGGATAAGAACGTGCGGACGGCCCGGAGACTGTTGTCCACCTCTACACACACACACGCACGCACGCACACACGCACGCACGCACACACGCACGCACACACACACACACACACACACACACACACACACACACACACACACACACAGAGAAACACATGCAGTAAGACATGAACACTGAATCAACACACAGCTGAACACAGACACGACAGAGTAAGGCAGTTACAGACGGACGCACGCCATAGATATGTTCATTATGCTTGTTATTACACACTTTGGTCATTTAAAATAAACTATTCTGTAGATTTTATATGTCTGCAGTTTTACAAAATACATTTTCAGATTTTTACGGTTTACGAGCAGCTTTGACAGAATAAATACACACATTCAGATTCGAAGCAAAGCAAAGAACTCTGTCAGAAAAGCTTCTATCAGCTCAGGTTAAAGGGTGGCAGCAGGTGGAGGCCTTAACACTAGCATCCCCTCTGTGCAGCAGCGCCCCCTGCTGCTGTCTGCAGTTGGGTTTTACAATCTGCACCAGAAAATTTGCCTCAACCAGCAACTGATTAAAGGACATTTAAAGGGAAAAAAAACCTCTGAATTTGTGAAGGTATTTGATTAGTAACAAATCAACATTAAACAGGTAAAATCAGGCCCAAGTCAGCAGCTGCAGAGAGGGGTTTGAATGCACTTTGCTACAACCAAGGACCAAGGATTATTTTTATTGTTTTATTCATAATCTGTGATTATATTGCACTCACTATGTCACTTATAACTCCTTCACTTTGTAATAAACTACATAAAATATGAAATTGTCCTCCAACTTGTAATCAAATGGACTTTGTTAATGTCCATCTGCAGCAAGAATATGCTGATACGTGATTACGTAGTCATAAATTGCAGATTTGATCAATAACACACAGATTTTCCTACGCAGACCTACAGCAGAGCAGCAGCGAGACTGAGAGCTGATTCTGTCCATGAGGCCACACAGAGATCAGACGGTTCACGTACAGACTCAAACAGACAGTGAAAAGGATCAACTAAAGAAGTTTGTCTGCAGGACTTTCTGACAGAAAGACAAAGGCCACTTTGACTTCACGGGCCTGGTCGTGCTTTTAAAGTTACTTATAACTCTCTCCCTGTTTGCCATCCACTCTCAGACATCAGGATAAATAAAGCTGGCAAACATGTTTATGAGAGAGAAGAGCTGACAGGAAGCTGCATATTTAATCTTTACTAGAACGCTGATGTTTAAGGTGCCTCGGTTTTATGCCCACTGTGAGGACATCCATCTGTGGTGCTAGCGGTAGAGCTTTGTCTGATAATCACTGGGTTGGCAGGTTGATTCTAGGCTTGAGTCCCTCCGGATGGTGAACAGATAGTTAGTGTTTTGTGGCCTCTCCACTTTTAAAATGAATCAGAAAGCCTTGAAGGGAAACTTCTCTTGGCTCTGGACTTAGATGTTGATTAGCCTGCCACTAAAAATAGCTCCAAATAAATACACTATGTCCTCCTGTTTATCTGATAAAACTACAGAGAGCTTTCTGAAGGAATTACCAAACCTTTTCAGAAAGCTTTAAGGCTTCAGCACTGGGCTCAGAGCTGAGAGCCGCAGACTGAGAAGAAACGATCCTGATGAAACAGCAGCAGGAACTCAGCTAATTCACTCAATCATGTCCAAAAACTACAACCACGTGGAGCTTTGGAGTACCATCAGTCTGACCCCTTTACCCTGCTTTGAGGTCAAAAGACAAAACTCTGCATTTTTGAGGAAAATGAAAAGGCTAAAGAGGCGGAGACAGGAAGCTGAAAGCCACGAGAGACACATAAACACACAGCTGCTTTGAGTCTGAACATGAGATCTGATAAAATCTGTAACATCACACCGTTCACCTGCCTAACAGTCACCTGAATCTGAACACCTGTCTGCACCTGTGTCGGCTGGTGACGCGCAGATCAAAAGCAGCAGGTGACCTCTGACCTCTGCAGGTTGGTCACATGGAGCTCAGGCTACAGGAGAGAAGATCGGACCTGCTAAGAGGTGCAGCTGTGGGAGGATGGATGATGAGCTAGTTTCCTATTGGACGGCCTAACAGGAAGCACATCACCTGATGTCTGTGAGTATCCTGAAGCTGCTGATTGGTGGAGTCCAGCCCTGCTCTGCAGGTGGCTGATGTTCCACTGATCTGGCATCTGCTGTTACAGTTGGGTGGGGCCTCTGCTGTGAGGCTCAGGAGGGGGCGATGTCACCAGGCTCCTCAGGTACACACAGGGGGTCCTCCTCCTCCCAGAGCCAGGGGCGGAGCTAGGTGGCGGAGGTGGAGGCGGCAATGGCCCGGGGGGCTTCAGGGAAGACATGAGCGGCTGCATCTCCGCAGCCACTCCCCTTCCACGTCCTCTTCTTCTTCCTCCTCCTCCTTCTTCTTGTCTGGGAAGAGGAACGAGCCCTGAGACACCTGAGGTCCGATGGAGAAAGTGCTGCCCGCTGCGCTGCCGGGTGGCGTGTAGGAAGCTGGGCGGGGTCCACCCAGCCTGGAGAGGGCGCTCACCCGTGGGTGGATGGGCTCAGCAGGGGCCGGTGGGGAAGAGATGCTCTCCAGAGAGGAGATGCTCTGGTTCCAGGCCTGCTGGAGGTCCACTGGGATGATCTTTGTGGCCTCCAAAGACACGCAGGGGGGAGGCGAGCCCAGACTGCCTTTCCACGGCAAATGACTGTCCTCACTGGTTGGTGAGGAGGGTGCGGGTGGTGGTGAGGGCGGTGCAGGTGGTGGTGGTGGTAGTAGCGGAATTTGACACCCTTCCAGAGCTGCTGGCACTGAAGGATGAGACACAACAGGGGGATAGTTACTGAGCAGCGAGGCTTGAAAGACTTAAAGGTTCACACTCTAAGAAAAGGAGGAGATTCTGATTCTGCTTTTAGTTAGTCATGTGACTTTAATCAGACGTTCACCTCAGGGACTGCAAATCAAAGATGGATGTAGCTTCTGGATCCAATAAGTAAAGCCAAGACTGAAGTGCCCAAAATCTGCAGTCTTCCTAGCAGCCAGCAGGGGGCGACCCCTCTGTTTTCTACAAGAAGTCTGGCTCAGTTAAAGTCTATGAGAACATGTCCCTAAAACTCACTTAATCTGTTAGCTCAGTAAACACTTCCTGATCACTTCACAGCTTTATTTGCCTGTTCAGTTCATTTTGTGAATGCAACATGATTTTAATTTTGTAATTTATGGTCCAAGGGCCGCTGTCCTGCAGGTTTTAGATGTGTCCTTGGTCCAACACAGCTGATTTAAATGTCTAAATGACCTCCTCAACATGTCTTGTAATGTCCTGGTAATGAAATAATCATTTGATTCAGTTGTGTTGACCCAGGGTGACATCTAAAACCTGCAGGACACCGGCCCTTGAGGCCTGGAGTTGCCCACCCCTGCTTTAAAGCATGTCTTCCTTCGGATTAATAAGTTGCTACATTATGAGCTTACTGTGTCCCTCTGTCTGCCACTCCACTCCTCACTTATTACATCCAGATTCACACACACAAGAGAGTTTGAGGTCCACTGAGTTTTTGAGTGACACAGTGACGTTTTACCCGATTTGGGTCGCTGCTTTGGCGTCTCGGCCTTCCGAGCTATGAAGGTGATCCCGACGTCTTCGTCTTTCTCTGGATCTGAATGTTCAGCTTTGTCCTCCGTCTCCACGGGAACAACCACCGGATCTGAACACAAAGACAGAGAATCACGTCTGCTGATAGGTGGAGACATTAAAATCCTCTCTGATGGCAGAGGAATCTTTCCTTAGACGTTCAGAGCAGATGTGTGGATGCGTTGGTAAGTAGAAAGAGCCCGCTGAGGCTGCAGCGCGCTCTCTTTATTTGCGTTACCTTTGTCCTGCCAGCTGACGTTACGTCTGGGTTTATCGCTGCCGTCCTCCTTGACATCGGATCCTCGCCGCTGTTGAAAGGGGAGAGAGCAAACGCAGTGAGCCACAACAGGAAGCAGCCGGCCTTCAATCAGCAGTCCTTCGTGACAGACAGCGGTAAAAGCCTCTGCGCTGTAATCCACCAACCGTTTCACAGTCTCAAATGTCATGTTACAGTTAAACAGACTGACGCAGGGATCCATGTGCACGTTTAGACATCTTTGTGAGGACAGAAAATTGGATTGCTACTATACTTGTGGGGACAAAGTGCCCGTCCCCACAAGTTTAAGACTCAAAATCTCTTTAAAACCTTTAAACGTTGTCTCTCTCTTTCATCTTCCAGCTGCGTCACTCAGTATGAAACGTTTACAAAAGTCTAAAATATAGATTTCCTTGGACCCGTCCAACGACCGATCCACCACGTGTCCATAGTAATCTGCGGACCGCACCGTGTCATTTAGAGGGCTGTTAGTGGTAAAATGGGATTCTTTGTGAAAACAGGTTCACTCCAGAATGTCTTTTTCTTTCTTTGTTTTTAAGAAATAATCCAGTCATTTTCTGTCCGTCTGGTTCTTTCTGTTTACTGAGCTTTCCGCACAGGTAGTCCGCTGCATCATGCCTGCATAAATAAAGCTGAATGAATAACTCGCACCTCCATAATCAGCTTCGCCCACACGACACAAACAGAGAAATTTCGCCATCCAGCTGATCCGTCAGCCTCTCTGTGATATTATGGACCTGAGCTGGAAACTAGCAGGACTTTACTGAGCTTACAGAAGATATACACCCAATAAAAATGCTCGATTTGGAGCAACGGTGAGAACAGATGCAGGTACTGCATGATGTGCACTTTAAGTCCCAAAACAAGCCCAGTGAGAGCAGAGCAAAGCCAAGCTTTAAACAACTGATGGGGTGATCGTGGCTCAAGAGTTGGGAGTTCGCCTTGTAATCGGAAGGTTATGGTTCTCGGTCGTTGTGTCCTTGGGCAAGACGCTTCACCAGTTGCCTACTGGTGGTGGTCAGAGGGCCCGGTGGCGCCAGTGTTCGGCAGCCTCGCCTCTGTCAGTGCGCCCCAGGGTGGCTGTGGCTACAACGTAGCTGCCATCACCAGTGTGTGAATGTGTGTGTGGATGACTGGATGTGTAAAGCGCTATACAAATACAGGCCATTTACCATAACCGATCAGTGCACAATGAGACTCACTCATTTCACAACACAATGACGCTGTTTGTCTTCATAATCTTTACGCATAAAAATCTTGCTGTGACACCAAAGGAAACATTTTCCAGCTACAGTACAGTAGATGTAGAAGTAGAAACACTTTATGAAGTACATCTACTGTACTGTATTTTCCTCCATCATCATCATCAGGAGTCATCTGATCGTTCCAGATCCATTCAGTCCAAACAGAGCAGGTCATGGGTTTTCTCTTGATTTTAAAAAAAATACATTGTTCAGAGCATGCTCAGAAAAGTGATTCTTAATCTCAAGCATTTCACTTCCTGGTTCATTAAAGGTGAAAAAAAAAATCCCAACCAAACTAGACAACCGCAAAAACCAGTCTGTAACGACAGCTGTTATTTCAGCATCACAATCATTCTGTTTAACAAGAAAGACCGAGGACCCTGGGACCGACTAAATCCTGGAACAGTCTAAAAGCTGTTCCTAAAAAACTGGCGTCTGGTGCACTAAGCAGAACTTTATGTTTTCTCTGGACTTTGGTTAAAGCTTGTTTCGGTGACTGATGCGTCTCACCTTTTTCAGGCTGCGTTCCTTCTTGTGGCGTTTGTATCGGGTGGATTTGAAGGTCTCCATGCGGCTCCTCATGTTCCTCTGAAACACCTCCCGGTCCTGGCGCTCCTGCTCCCCCAGCGGCATGAAGTGACGACTGTAGTGGGACTGATACTGAACACAGAGGACACCAGCCTCAGCCTCACGCACTCAAACACATTTCATTTCCCAGTGAGACCTGCTCCCCTGTCCTGATCTTCTTTAAAGATCTCAATAGTGACTTTAAAGACCCTGAAACATCTTGAGTGCCCTCCAACACAATCTCCACAACTTTAAGAAACCTTGGGGCTCCAAGAAGGGAAAAACTTACCCGTCTCCTGGGTTTGTACAGGTTTCCAGCGAGGACATGGTGCGTCTCCATGTCCTCCTCCACTTTGGCTCCAGGAATGTTATCGATGACCTGGAGGTCCAGACACACACCGCTGCCGTTCTCACGTCTGGAACAGACAAACATCAGCGAGCATTCAGGCCAGTCAGAACTGAAAAGCTCACAAAGAGTTTGATAATTCACTTATCAAAGGGCACAGGGTGAAACCTGAAACTTTTATGAGTCCGGCAGGGCAGATTTTGCAGTCATGTGACTCACAGATAGTTTGTGACGTTGGTGACTTCGGGGAACGAGGCTCTGCTGGCCATCGAGGGCAGAGACAGTCTGGCTGAGGTCAGGACGTTCCCACCCTACACACACACACACACACACACACACACACACACACCACACACACACACACACACACACACACTCTTCAAAACATGTCTTACTGCAGGTGCACTACTTGCAAATCACCTGGTGGTACAGTTTGGTGGTTCAAACGAAGCGGTGACCTCCACAAAATCAAATGAAACCAACAGCGAAGCACCAAAACTTGCAGTTCCTTTAATGACCACCAGAGGCCCCAGCACTCAGTCAGTCATAAACAGTATTCAATCTGAGACCCTCCTCATTTGTTACAACCCACAGTTAATGTTATTGTAAACATTTTTGTGGTTTTCTGACAGGCAAAGGGACATTTCACCCTGAAGTCAAATTAACAGGAGCCACCTGAGGAATTCCAAGCATGTCCCACTGGGAGGAAGCTCCAGGGTAGACCCAGAGTGGATATTCCCACCTGTTGTGCTGTTTATCCATCAAACTAAAAGTCTGTTTCCAGAAATGCTGACCTGGTTTCTAAGAAGTTTTCTGTAGGAAAAATGATAAAGTTACTGAATTTTTAAATGCTGCGTATGGATTTTTAGCGGTGGAGATTTTTGTGCTCTCCTAAAAACATATGATGGATCGTCATATAATAAAAAGGCTGTCTCGATGTGAAGCAGCGTTCTGCTTCATGAAACGTTCCTGTTTTCCTCATAAATCTGGTCCAGGGGTTTTCCTCGTCTCAGCTGGTGGGCTGATAAATAAAACTCACCTCTGCTCTGACTCTAATGTCGGCCTCACGGGGGGACTGAGCGTTAGCCTGGAGGCCCCTCACTGTGTTTCAGGCTGATTTATTAAAACGCTCAGCTTGTGCAGGTGCGGGTCAGACTGTTTGTGTTTCACTCTGCTGACCAGGAAAGTTCACAGTCGTGAAAGGAGACGCCAACAAGTCCAAAATCAGAGCCAGCTCAGTCTGAGAACACTGAGACAGAATTTAAAGGAAGGACCTTAAAACTGGAAAATTTTCAAAGCCATAAAAGAGACGATTTCATGTCTTTTCACAGGCAATTTATCTCCAAAGGTGGGAAACTCTTTTGTCAGAGAGGTCAGTGTAGTTATTCTTCTTCTTCTTCTTTCAGCTGGTTCCTTCAGGGGTCACCACAGCAGATCATCTGCCTCCATGTCACACATTCCCAGCATCCTCTTCTGTCACACCCACGCTCTGCACATCCTCCTCCTCTGAAGTCTTCCTCTTTTCCTCCTGCCTGTTAGCTCCATCTCCATCCTCCTTATATATCGCTCTCCCTGCTCTGCCTCTGTCTCTGATGTACTCATTTATAATCCTGGTCCAGCTCGGCCTCCATCTCCAAACCACACATCACAGCAGGTCTCACTGCCATCCTGTAAACCTTCGCTTTCACACTTGCTGCTGTCTTCTGTCACAACTCAACTCTGACACTCGTCTCCACCCACTCCACCCTGCCTGCACTCTCTTCTTCACCTCTCTCAAGCACCGTCCTCTCTGTTAATCACAGCGTTAAACTAGAACAGGAAAATTTTTTTATAAAAAAGCAAGTAGAGCAGAATGAAATAAAACAGAATAATACAAAATATAGTGTGTCAATAAGTAAAAGCTAAATAAAATAATACAATGAAAGATAACATTCCTGAATGAAATAAAAGTTCATAGAAAAAAAATCATTTTCTAAATATTTTCAAATTATATTTTCAAAGTAAAAACAAATGATGCTGTTTTCTTAATGCGTCTGGATTTGTACGAACTGATGCTCAGGGATCGACGAGTCTCTGTCATATTTTGAATGTTTCTAAAGTGTCGTCTTCCTCCTACACACAGCAAACCTCTGTCAGCTTCACACTGAAGCCTACTGACTCTAATTCTTGGTTTAGTTCTCCACCTGGTGGCTTTCAGAGGAACTGACAGAGACGGGACGTCATCGCTCATTGGTCCATGAAATATGCAAGTCACTGTCAGCAGAGAGGGATTATACCTCGTCGTTTACGGGCACGTGTGTGGTTCTCTTTATGAATCTGGTCCCTTTCATTTTCATTTTCTGAAAGTTTTCAGTGTTGGCAAAACCAAAAGCCATAACTGACTTTCATACATGTTATTGATATAAAACTACGATAGATGTAAAGCTGACACGCTTTAAAACTCTCTCGATGTGACAGTGAAGGACTTGCTGGCTGCTTTCCTTCTTTACACTTAATGTTAGTAATGCTTGGATGGTTTTTCCGACCTGGTCGATGACGCTGATGGCGTCTCTGATGTTGATCTTCTGATAAGCCTCCCACAGTTCACTCTTCCTGTAGACGGACTTCCTCAGCAGCAGCTTACTCAGGTAGTTCTTGTCAAACTGCTCCCACCTGAGCTCAGACAGGGCGACAGGTATGAAACACTTTGTCTCTGCAGCTTCCTCTGATGTTGCTGTAACATTGCAGTGATGTCGGGGACACTCACTTGTCTCTCCAGTGGTGATATCCCTGCAGTCCTGCGATGTCCTCCACCGCAGTCAGAATGTGGTCGAAGGCCTGGAGACAAAACATTAATGAGAAGGGCGACGGTGAAGAAGGTGAAGAAGAAGAGGAAAGGGGGAAGAAAAAGAAGTCACCCTCTCGTGGATCTCCTCGTTGATGGTAGGCTTCCTGTTGGTGGCACGAGGAACTTTGAGCCACTTCACCAGCGGTTTGATGGTCAGACCCTGATGACGAGAGAAGAGTCTCAGAGAGCTTCTGGTCAAAAGTATGTGGACACCTCCCCCAGGACCTTCTCTATTGCTAAAGTCGTGATGGCACTTCCAGTCTAGCATTTTAATCTCAAAGAGACATTTACCATCGAGGTGGCAGCAAACCCACCAAAACAGAGCCATCTATCTTCGCTGTACACGTGTCTGAATCCATTAAAGGTGGATTTACCAGCACTGGATTCTCCTGTGATGGAAGATTTAGTGGAATTTTCTTTTGCTTTTCTAAATATTCCTGAGCCTTGTAGCAGTGTTTTTGCCTTCTGGTGCTTCTTTTTGTACATATTAGATGAATTTAATGTATACTTTATTGATCCCTGTGGGGAAATTCCTCTCTGGATTTAACCCATTCACTCTATATAAGTATAAGCACTGATTCTACGACATTACAGTGGAGCTAAAACTGGTGCAATGTAGCCCTGCCTCATGTCTCAGCCCCCCAGAAGACTCACAGCCTCTGAAGCAGTGTTCCAGTTTCTTCTACTGTTTCTCTAAAACAGCTCATGAACTTGAGAAGTGATTTGGTCATAATCCAGAGATGAGTCAGCGTTATCCACGTCTAAGTCACGTTTTCGTTATTATCTAAGTGATAAACCATCATCTGTTGCACTCAGACGGTAACTCATTAACAGAAGACATTTGTGGGAATCACCACCGTCTGCTGAGGTCCGTGATTCATGATGGGAATCAAAGGTCCTTCAGCCTCAACGTCAACTCATGACTTACACCAAAGTATACTCTTTAGATTTAGTGTTTAGAATAGAACAGAATAGACTAAACAGATGCTAACTCAGTTGGCTGCTTCTGATTCCAGGGGATCCTTTTAGCTGGAAATGCTTATTCTATCTAAATTAAGATGATATCAAACACATGCATGTGTGATTAACACCTAAGATGATGGAAGGATGAATCTGTGAGTCCTCCTAACAGCCTGAAGCAGACACAATTAATGCTGGGTCCTCATTTTGATTGGTTGCTTTGCAGTTGACTCCGTTGGGTGACTTATAATGATGGTGAGAAGGCCTTAAATGGGGTTTTTTGTAACCCAAAAACAATTCCTGTTTGTTATCTGCAGAGGCTTCGAAGCACACTGAGTGCAGCATGAAGGACAGGGATGGTTGGACCTGCTGCTAAAGTCTGTTTCACTAAAACTTCCAAAAAATCCACGTAAGAAATAAGGTATCAGCCGAGTCCGACTTTCCTCCAATTTCCTCGATAATTTCACCACTGAATGTGAAATTAAAGGCTACTTTATAACATCGACAAACTCGTTTCTGTTTTTTTAAAACACTTAACTTGTGACAGATTCCAGGTCTGACACAGATCAACAAGCGAGTCAAATTTCAGTCAGTCAGCAGCCAGTTAGTGAGAAAAACAGAAAAATGGCTGAAGCGAACAGACGCTAATCGGTCAAATTTAAGGGGGGAGGGGAGCAGGGCAACCTCAGGTCGCCCTTTAGCCACGCCCCTGCTCCCATCTGTGCAGAATAGTGTAACTCACTGGTGTCAAACTAAATTTAATCTGTGTAAAAGTCACGGCGTGGGTCACCTGACCTCACTCGTTTGCTCGTCTGTCTTTCAGGGAGGGCGCTGAACGCCATCATTCCTACCTGAAACATGACGGTGAAGAAGACGACCACGATCGTCGTTGCGACGAAGTAATCCTTGGCTTTGACTTGCTCGCCGTCTAGCAGTACCACCAGGGCGAACGCCACTGCTCCTCGAAGGCCGCCATATGACATCACCACCTGGTCAATCTTCTCCAGTGGCACGAGGCGGAAGCGGTTCAGGACCCAGGTCTGACCAACCACACCTGGAGAAGAAAGGACGACAGTTTCACCTTTGTGCTGCATGAAATATCTTAATTTAAGGGTGGAGAAGATTCGACATATTTTCTGGATTCAATTTAAATTCTGCGCGCCTCCTTTCAGCAGGGAGAGGTGGAGCAGGAGGGGGAAAAGCCTTAAAGGTTAAAAAGGAGGTTTTTCTCTGTCTGATACGAGTGTGACATTTGAGCGTGCTCAGTTAAAGATCAGCCATGCAAAAGGTCACCGCAGGAAAAGTAAACAGAAAAGGACAAAGCTGGTTTATTCCATCAGCGATCATCGAGCAGATGCTCCGTATTTTTCTGCTTTTCCGTGAAGCCGCCGTCTCCTCGCACTCTGAAACATATCCTAGTAAGATGCTGAACTATTTTAAGACACGATGGAAACCGACTGACCGACAGCTCTGAAAATTAAGATGAAGACGAGGGTGCAGGACACCAGGCCCGTGTCCCAGGCCCACTTTGACTTGTCCACAGCTGAGATGCCCAGGAAGATGAAGATGATGGTCTCTGCGATGCTGGCCAGAGTCTTCATGGTGTACTTCACCGTGGTTCGAGACTTCTGGGAAATGTTGGCCTCCACATATTTGTTGGCCCCGATGCCACAAAAGGTCATGCTGAGATGTGACAAAAAGACAAAGTGAGACATGCTGTAAAACTTAAAATCAGACCAGAGTTGATACAAAAGATGGATGGAAATGTTTTTGTTTTTGCAACCAGAGAAGTCGCCATCTGCTGATGATCAGAAAGAATGCAGATTTGCGACACCTTAGACCCAGAACCCGCTCCATCTGTTGTACACTGGTAGTTCTGATTTATAGAGGATGGACTTACGACAGGATGGCGGACAGGGAGAAGAGCTCGGCGGTCAGGTAGGCCAAGTAGACCATCAGGAAGACGAGGAGCGGCTCGATGATCCGGACTTTCTTGGTGAAGCGAGTGATGAAGCCCAAGATGACGGCAAAGATCAGACCCACCATAGTCCCCCCGATACTGACGATGAGGAAGGAGGCTGCAGGAGAGGAGGAGGACGTAAGTCACAGGACTCAGGTTTAAGTCAAAGTTTGATCCTTTCTGTGGACTCACCGACTCCTTTGAAGTAATCTGCTGTCTGCACATTCTCTGCTCCCACTTCCACAAAGGAAATGTAGACTTTATATAAAACCTGCAGAACACAGACAGGTTTAGACTGTAGGTGTTTGGAGGTCTGAGCCCACGGACGGTCTAATGTTTAGTGATCTGCGTCTCGGGAAAATCAGTTAAAGTGCAGGTGCTTAATAGCACCACAAGGTGGAGCCTCATTCTTTTTTTGTTATTTGGAGCTGGAGCGCTCACAGGCTAACAGAGGTCATCATGTATGACCAGGCAGCAACCTTTGACCCCGGGGCTGATAAATGAAGCCATCATGAGGTGATAAAAACTGTAGTTCCTTGAGTGGCCACTTGAGGCTGACTTCAAAAAGAGTCATTCCCCCAACAAACGGTTTCCATTTATAGCTAATTATTTTGTTTTGTTGTTTTTTGTATCTCACCTGTATAGATTTTGTTCACATTTAAGGACTGGCAGCCTCAGCCGGCGGTTCTCTGCTCAGCCTCACCTCAACTTAATTAAGTTTTTAATATACTCAGTGTCTCAGCAGTGTGGAGGTTCACACGTATTGCTTCACACGCAAAAGATTCCAGATTTGAAAGCAGGAGGTGACACAGAGCAGCCTCAGGGGTCACAGGCTGCTGCACTCCGAGTGTCAGCCCCGTGGGAAGGTTGTGTCAGGTGGGGCACGTGCTGCAAAAAATCTGCTCCCAATTATTGCAGCTTCATTTTCTGCGGCTTCCCTTTGGGAAACCTCTCAAGAAGTCTGTGCTGCAGTTTCTGTGATTTAAACTCTAATACAATCAAGATGAAGAAACATGTTGTTGCTGTTCTGTTCACTGCCAGGTCACCTCTGTACGGTGCATTTTTGAACGTACTGCCCAACACTAGTGATAACCAGCTGGATATCAGCTCACTTCACTGGGTTATATTGCTTTCTTTTTTATTGTCCTGCAGTGGAAACCCCCTCCCTGCTTTTCAAACACTGATTTCATGTCCTCTGCTCTCTAAGCTGATTCACACAGTATGAATCTCCACTTTATACCCACAAATAATCATTTCACAGCAGGAATTCCAGGCATTCTTACTGTTTACAGGACCTTAATGTGCTGCGTGACAACAGTAAATTATGGCGTGCGGCTTCGGGGAAGCATGCAGCACTCAGCTGAGCCTGAACAGTAATAACTGTGATGTGAAGCGATTGAGCAGCAGTAGTGAGCGGCCAGCCTGAGAAAATGAACTCCTTCCTTCGTCCTGTGCTTGCAGGTCATGGCTGCAGTGCTCCCACACTTTGGATTTTTCCATTTCTTGGTGGGATTAGCTCAGATTCGGAGTGCTGCTGAGGATTAGACAGTTGCAGTGTTAATCTCCTCACAACTGATTAATCTCAGCTTTCTCAAACAGTAAATGTGAGAAAATGTGAAGGTTCTGCTCTTCTGTCCTGGTCCGTGTTCATCACGCAGCTCTGCTGCTCCGATTCACCAGATTCTGTCTCTTCTCTGTCTCTCTTGATGTGGAGTAACATCGTAAATCAGCGGACCTGCTGCCGCTCAGACCGGCACCAGCACCCACACTCGACCTTTCACTGCCACCATCACTTCATACAAATGCAACAAGTGAAGTATGAAGGAAACGATATGTTCGCACAAACACGGCCCACAGTGCGTCCTTGTGTGCTAGTCATTGTTGACCTTGTAAGCCGCTCTGTTGCCACAGCAACACACCTGACATGATGAGGCATGTGTGAGAGCGTATGTGTGTGTGTGTGTGTGTGCAGCTCTGCCTTAACATATCATGTGTTTCTGTGCTGGTTTTACACCTACTGTGGGGACGTACGTCTGTTTGCTCAATTGTGCTCAATTTTAAGATGTGTTTTGAACAGGAAAATACTGTGTGGAGATGCACGTGTGTGTTGTTTATTTTTTATTGTAATTTAAGTTAGAAAATATGACCTTTGATATCAAGAACTGTTTTGCAAATGTGTCAGCAGAGATTTCACAGACTAAAAAGAAAGAAAAACACATACATACAGAAAATAAGTTTACACATGTATCAGAGTTTCTGGTGATATAATCATGATATAAAAACTTGTATTATTATTGGAGTCTTTCAGGATTGGGTGATAAGTTACAATTTTAACACCATCAGTAACAATAACCAGCTGGTGATTGTTATTGACGCATGTGTGCGTGCCACTTTCCATCCCCCGTCCCTTGTGCCTGACGGACTGTGTGTGGTTCTCACCACGGTGACGGCGTCGTTGACCAGTGACTCTCCAAACACGATGATGAAGAGCGTTTCATTGACGTGAACCTCCTCGAACACGGCCAGCACCGCCACGGGGTCGACGGCTGAGATCAAGGCGCCGAACAGCAGGAAGTCCAACATTTCGGCCTGCACGTGCTCATCTGCAGGGACACGCGGGAAATATGAAGAGACGGGACAACACAACAATAACAGGAAGTTTCCAGTTTTAAATGAAGCAACTTTAACATTTTAAAGGAAATTATTCTGCGCCACTGGTTCTCAGATGGTCGGCGAACTCTGTCAGTACTGTGTTTGCAATGATTACGAAATCTATCACAAACCAGTGAAGACAACAGAGAGTTCAGAAGAGAGTGCAGGTAGGGTGGAGTGGGTGGAGATGAGTGTCGGGGGTGATTTGTGACAAAAGGATAGCAGCAAGAGTGAAAGAGGAAGACCTCAGAGAGAACATGCAGGGGGCTGGTGTGACAGAGGAGGAGACGGAGGCAGGTGAGCTTCTGTGGGGAAGGAGAGGTGATATGTGTTCGTTTATTCGCTGTCATATATAAATAGTGCTCAAGAGTAGGAAGCATAACCACGACCATGATATACATGACCAAAGTAAGTAATGAGGTCAGCACACGTCTAAAAAAACCTGTGAGAAACGAAGAGTTAAAGGAAGAGGAGGTACAGCGGCTCGTTTCAGACAGAGGATGGACCGGAGGGACACACCGAAGCCCAACATGACAACATAAATAAGGACTATGTTGAAATTTGGATTACGGAAAGCTGCTCTCACTGAGTCCAGAAAATAACAATAAAGGTGGAAATGAGCACCATGAATCTCCTTTAGAGGCACTTAATGTACTGTAAATTTACTGCTGTGTGTTTGTCCTGAACAAATGCTGTTCGCTGGCACATTTAACTCAAATTTATTCACAAGTTATTTCTGTTTCCTGGAAAGAGGCGCTGCCTTAAAGACTAAACTCAGAGAACAACAAACTGATTGCTGTAAAGAGCTCGGATTGAGGGCAGACTATAAATTTACACAGAGGTGGGGCTATGCAGGACTGCAGATGCACACCTGTGACCTATGACCCCTGCACCCACAGCACTGACCTATGAACCCCAGCAGTTTGGCAGCGTACAGGGAGAACCCAGTGCAGAAGGCGTTCCACAGCGTTCCCACCACAGCGTATGTCAGGATGGCTCCCAGGTTGTCGAAGAAGAGCCTGGCCGGCATGAAGTATCCGGCATCACCCACGATGGTCGGCAGCAGGAAGAGGAAGAAGAGGCTGGGCTCTAGCTGGTATAGCTGCTTCTTATTGGCTATGAGGACGACCCCGCCCAGGACCAGACCCAGCAGAATCAGCATGCAGCTCTCTGGGACCACGGTGGTGAAGCGCTGGGAGAAGTGGAACACTGCAGGACAAGATGCACCGATTACAAAACAAGGCATGAAAAAGTTTGCATGACTTCGTTAAGTTTAATTATTTATCTGCTTTTCTTAATTTACCTTCTCTACCTTCTGTTTCCTGCAACAGCTCCTCTTTGTTCCTTCTGCTACTAAATCCTATGTCAGCTCTATTTTTCTCCACCTGCTTGGCTCCACAAACATCTGACTCTGCAGCTCCTGACTCGTGCTTCATTTTAGTCAGGTCTGCAGGTGTGAACACGGACATGTATCGCACGTGTGCCGAGATGTGAGGAGGCAATTATTTGCTCTCTGAATTGTTGATATTTTTGCATTTGATGAAACACATAAACAAAAATCAGCGCTGCCATTGTAGCCTTGGACATGCAGTTAGGAATCCATCAAGGCCTGCGGTGAGTCACAACAAGACACACACACACACACACGCTGGTGATGCTCCTCATAAATCAGGACACAGGGAAAAAACATCAAAGCCTGAACGAACATACTGTGTGCGTCTGTTTCCATGATGATTCATTTACACCAATCAGAAGGCTCTGCTCCATCAGCCAGGGCTGGATCACCATCCAGACAAACTGGGAGTCAGAGGAGCCTCTGACTTCCTCGTTATCATTTCAGTCGACATAATTTGATCAGCTGAAGCAGAATGAAGCAGAACTACAACTGATCCTACAAGTCAGACGAACCCAGAACCTTCAACTGCATCATCATCATCATCATCATCGTGCTTCCTGAACATTCTGCAGACTTTGATACTGAACTTTTCCAACTGAAATACGTCTTTTTAAACAGGGTAACTCTGCATTTTACTTAAGCTGGTCATCGGGATCAATGCGCCGTGTTCTCCGTGACCATGGATAACAGCGCTGGGTCATCCTCACACTGAATTCTCCACATACACACATGGAGCATCAGCTGTTTGCAGCTTTTAACTAGAATAAAATAACAAAACATGAACAAAACTTTAAATTTCATGTGTGAATGAGCTTTCTGCCTGACTCACATATATGAACGGATATGTGTGTGACGCTCTTACAGAAAGCAGTTCAGTTACATGGTGTACTCATACACGACTCTGTGCTCTGGATAACAGATAGCAGAGGAGGCACAACAAGAGGAGCGATACAGTCCTTCAGCTCACTGTAAAGAGCGTTGCAGAACCTTTCTAATTTTTCTAACCAACATCATAAGATAACGTCTGTCGATCTTTGAGCTTCTGGGTTTGTGTCTTAACACTTTAAAACCTGAACCATGAAATAATTACTTAGTTTGTCAAACAGAGTGTTAAATTAAACTTTCTGACAATTTAATTAACTATTTATGGAAGCCCGTTTCCGCCACTAAATAAAAACAAAACAGCTAGTATCCATAACTCGAAATTTCGAGTTATTTTTCTCGAAATTTCGACTTATTAACTCGAAATTTTGAGAAAAGTAACTCGAAACTTCGAGTTACTTTTCTCAAAATTTCGAGCTAGCTCTGCCAATCAAAAATATAAGTGAATGAGGTCGCTTTCTTGTTACCCGGAAGCATATGGCGCAGAGGAACGCGCACTCAAAAACGGATCCCAACAAACTGGCGCTTTGGCGAGTACGTTTGCTGATAGTAACACCATGTGATTCAGCTAATAACACGGGGATTTCATCATTTGTGAAGCCAGGCTGAAAACACTCAGCAATCTGTGCATTCACGACTGGATGTAATACCGGTAGCTTAGCTGTAGCATTTGTAGCTGAGGGCTTCAGCTTCCGGGTAACGAGGAAATGACGTCATTCACGTAGATTACTGATTGGCAGTGCTAACTCGAAATTTCGAGTTACTTTTCTCAAAATTTTGAGTTAATAAATCGAAATTTCGAGTTAATATGTCAAAATTTCGAGAAAGTAACTCGAATTTTGAGAAAATAACTCGAAATTTTGAGTTATGGATCCATTTTTTTTTTTTTAGTGGCGGAAACGGGCTTCCATAACTATTTGTTTGCATATACTGTACGAGTTTTAATTTGTACCATTTTTATTGCAATTTATTTTGTTTTTTGGGGGAAAGACACACAAATGATGTAAAAGTATCAAAAACTCAAATTCTCATGATACACTTTACATTAAAGGCTTAAACTTTTTAATAGCCAACAGCAGACGACTTCTCTGGTTGCAAAGAAAGACGTGTGAGTGTGTAGAAGTTTAAGGGAAACGTTATTCTACTGCCTCTGTGAGCTATGACTCCAGCGAGCGCTTTTCTGATTATTATTAGTTAGAAGTATGATTGGATACGAGTGAAGTTACTCTCGATTTCTCAGTCGGATCTGCCCGGGTTTCAAACTCCAATACACCAACTGGGAAAACACTCATTTTGAAGCTTTATATCAGGACTTAACAAACGATGACCGTGGTCATATTTTTTATATGCTATGCTCAATAAACTAACTGCTGTGCATTCAATGAACACATTTAATAAACTATAATTAACAAATAAAATGTAATAAAATAATAATGCAGCCCATAAATGTTGAGTAAAGAAAGAGCTCGTTGTCTGATCAACATCAGTCTGAAATAAAATCCTAGATTTTGGTGCTTGACGCTTCATTGCTTGTTTCAAGAGAAGCATGTTTAATATTTGCCTTGTACAGTAGTACACACACACACACACACACACACACACACACACACACACACACACACACACACACAGCCGAACCACCTACACACCAGACGCACAGCGAGGACAAAAAACACTGAGAACATTCAGCTGCTCAACATGACGTCCAGACATGGCCATTTATACACCACACATCCAAAGCAGCTCTGAAAACAGAGACTGACAGCGTCTGAGTCTGATTCCTCAGAGCTGCAGAGCTCCACCATTAAAACTCATCCCTGAGGCTTGTCTAAGGAGCTTGGAAAGAAAAGCGTCTGGACTTCTTTAGGTTAGGTCCAGCTTTTCTTTCCAAGCTCCTTAGACTACGATGACCTGGATGACTGAGAACCTTCACAGACATCGCTGAGGCTTCATCACCATCAAGCTACACACATACGGTGGTTTATTCTGACTCACTGCAACATGAATCGCCCCTCTGCCAAATAAAATCTAGAGCAACAAACACTGATTCATCCACTGCAGAAAATAGTCCCCAAAATGGTCTATTAACTCCTAAATGATAGTGAACAGTCTCTTAAAGAAATGACTGAGCCTAAAGTTTATATATCTGTTATGGAGGTTTGACTTTTGAAGATCAAAAGCTTAAAAGTTTTAGCTTTAAGAATGTTAAAAGACACCAGGAAAGAGCACATTTGTCTGAGACCGTCTTCAGTGTCGGATTAACCCACCCGTGGCGCTCTGTGAGCCTGGAAGAATCTCACAGTGACAGGAAACGGGGAATTTAACAGTAGATGCTTGTGTTCGGCTTTAACAACAGGAAGAACACGCAAGAGATCACCAGACCTGCTGATTTATGTCTAAATGATCTGAATGTGTGCAGCCAGCTAGAACAGAGCCACAGTGTGTGTCTGTGTGCACGCATGTGTGTGTCACTAACATTACCACATTAGTAAGCAGTATGTATAGCATGTGCGTACTATTGTCTTGCAGTGCAGTGACTCACCAGCAGCTTGGGAAGTATTTATGTCAACAGGTATTCCTCATGTTGTGGGGACTTAAATGTGCAATCATGCTATGGGGACGAGTCATTTTAACAGGGACGAAAGCGTAAAATTTTTAAGGTGAATGCAGCATTTAATGTTCGAGATTGTCTCCAGGAAGTGAATGAGAGTCATGGAAACATGGCTGTGTGTGTGTGTGTACCTGTTCAGACGTCTTTGTGAGGACCAAAAATTGGAACCTTACTATACTTATGGGGACCAACAGTCTGTCCTCACGAGTTTGAAGGCATTTCTGAGATTCAAAACGTGGTTTTAGTGTCAGGGTTACAATTAGGTTATGCTTAGGTTTAGGCATTCATTTCGAAGGTTAAGGTCAGAGTTATTGTAAGCGGCTAGGGTAAGTGTTATGTCAATTAGATGTCCTCACTAAGATATCAAAACGAGAATGTGTGTGTGTCAGTTAAAGTCCTGCTGCTCTGAAACGTTCTGAAACACTGAAGCTTTCGAGGATCGAGGTTCAAAGGTTTCTTTGTTCTTTTCACATTTTAATACTACATAAAGTTTATTGTTCATTACTATTAATGTTTAGCAGACGTGGCCAGTTCTTGGCTGATGAACAGACTCATCAACCCACTCATCCAAGCACACACGCCACATAAGCGACCTCTTACTCTACCTACAGGGACTCCTTCAGTTGTGTCAAGATGGAGACATCTTGGGGAAACTGGGGTCTCCTCCGGGATATGGACCCGGGACCTCAAGAAACCCAAAGATTAAGGATCATTCCTCTACGCTCTTCTTTCATCTACTCCTGTGCTTGTTGCTCCCTGTCAGTGGGACCCTTTCCAGCTGAAAGTGGGCTCTAACAAGATGCTGAGGTGCTGGGGTAGCACCGGTTCAACAGGATGCAGCTGATATTGAGCGGGTAGTAAGCTACTTGGCCCACAGGTTCAGGTTTCGCCAACTAAACTACTCTGTTGTGGAGAAAAGAAGCACTCACTTTAATATTGGGCTTTGAAACTCTTTGAAGTGTATTTAGGCAGCAGTGGGAGTCCTCTTGTGGTATATGCCAACCACAATCCTCTTATTTTTGCACACTGTAGAGAACACAGATCAGCACATGATGAGAAGGTGCTCATTTTAACAGCTCTGCCAGCTGGATGTCCAACATTATGTCTGTTTAGTTTTTTTTTTATTTTGGGAGTTTTCTTCTTCAGTTCTCTTAAAAGTGCTTTTTAGGTACCAAGCTGCTGAGAACAGAATTGGTGAAGGTAATCTTAGTATCTTCATAAATACATTTGTTAGTCTTAATGACTGAAGTAACAGCTGGTGTCACTTTTGCTATCTAATCATAACAAAACAAAACCAGCCATATTTCAGACAGAAAGGGTGCAGGTCGAAGCAACAGCTTCGGTACACCTACCCCTCATATTACACAGTTTAACCAACCGTGAAGTGATTGCTACGAGTCATTACGTAGAAGAGTCAGATAAAAATTTATGTCCAGAAACAGACATCAATAGCTGAAACGTGCTGTCAATGTTAAAAACTGTTAAATTTGAACATTTACAGTGATGCAAAACCAACAAATACCACCAATACTACTGATAATAATAAATGTTATACTTAATATTATGTTGTACAGCACTGATTTATTGTTGTGGCCTCATTTATCTGGAGTCTTAATTTCTTTTTATGAAAACAATATAATGACTGATTCTGTTCATGTTTTATTCACTAAATATGATTTTCTTATTTTGAACTTGGTGATATCTCAGTTTTCTGATCTCGCTTCTTTTTATGACCTCCATTTATCGTCTAATCTAATCCCCAAGAAACTAAATGTGTTTTATTACTTCGACAACTTGTTTATCATGTGAAGATTAGTTTTATTTCTGTCTTCTGTCTGGGTGGCTCATTTTTAAACTAAGCGAATAATCAGAAATAATCAGATAGATATAAATAAAAGTTGTTCAACACTGGATTAATTAACATGAAAAGAAGGCGCTGTATGGAAGGCCTCAGGTTTGACGATTTCCTTTGAGTTTCTGTAATATTACTTAGAAATCCAACCTTTATTAAAAATGTACACAGAAGAAGAACATTTCATATGCAACCAAAATCTTAAAAAGCTCAGTTATTTTAGTTTGTACAGATGCCATTTGATTAAACTTGGTCTTTTATCGAGTTGTTCAGCATGTACAGTGACTGATAAAGATTTCATAGGAGAACTGTGAGGCTAAAACCAGCAGTTAGTTCTTCCTCCTTATCTAAAACTCCAATCATTACTTTCAAACTCAGAAAATATTTTAAACTCTTGTTTTGTCGATTACAAAAGTGTTCATTATCAGAGAAAACTATAAAAGAAGGAAATTATCCCAAGCTGAGTAGGAGACCCCACTGGGGCATACTGCTAAAATAGCGTGGTCACTTGTTGGTTAATATTATTAGTAAAATATTACAATTATTGGCAGTTATAAGTGTCTTCGTTTTAAAAAAGAAAATATTTGTTACTTATTTTTTCAACCATTTAATGAATTAAGCCATCAGCTCAAAGTCACCATCAGTAATGAGCCTAATTCTTCTTTTAAAGTTGTTCTAAAAACCCTGGTAACAATCAAACAAAAAAAAAATCATTTACTTTTGCTTTTCTCTACCATTTTTTAAAATTATTATTATTATTTTGGTAGCTGACAATAATCAGGGTTAGAAACATCACCAATGATTTAGACATCAGTGTTTACTATATCAAAAATGGGGTGGGTTCGGGGGGCCCAGCAGGAACTTTGTGGCCCGTGGCTCCGCAGCAGGTGATTCCGGCAGTGGCTGCAGCCATTCCCTGACTCTCATTAATAAACTTCCAGTCTGGTTCCAGCTGCAGTAAGGAGACCAGTGAAGTTCCAGTCTGTGTACTGGTGCTGGGAAACAAACACACACAAACACACACACACTTACAGATCTTGGCCACGCTGGCCACCAGTAGCCAGATGGCGATGATGTACGGGGTCTGGACGTAGCTCCACTCCCACTGGACCACCCGGTACCCGCCGCCGTGATGATGATCATGCTCCCCTGCGTCTTCCTCCTTTCCGGTGCCGGTCGGCTCCTCTGCAGCGGACCGGGCCAAGGCGACGCCGGGCGCCCCGTATTCCGCCCCGGGCTGCGGGAGGAGGAGCGGCGGGGCGGAGGGAGAGGCGGGGACCGGTGGAGAGAAGCCGAGCCCCGGCCCCCGGAGCGGCGGAGCGCCCGTCCCGGGCAGGTCGGCGGCGGCGGCCGGCAGCAGGAGCAGCATCAGTCCGAGCGGCAGCATCTCGTCCCTGGAGCTCAGCGGGCGGACATCCTCCGAGTCTTTATATACACACCGGGACACGGAGAGGACGCGGAGCGAGGCCGGGAGCCGGTTTACAACATCAACAACACACACGCGCGCGCATGGACCCACGCTCACACACACTCAGACTCCGGTAAGACACGGAGGAGGGGACACCGGAGCCGGCATGTGACCCGCCCAGTCCCCCTTTAAAGAGACGGAGACACTGCAGGTGAAGCTCTCCTGCTGACTGACTCACAGCTGATGCTCGGTACCGATCGGCTATGACGTCACACATCAATACTGCTCGGCGTGACGTCAGATTTTCAGTTCATTGACATGTTTGAACTTTGCAAACATCTGGTGATTGTAACTGCTCCTTCTTTGGGAGGATTACTGAGGAGGAGCCATGTTTCTGGAGAAACATGGTGAAGGGGCAGAGCCAGCTTGGGGGGGGAAAAACACTGAATGAGAAGACATGAGGTCACATCTGGGTCATTCTCCAGCAGAAGGAAAAACTATATGAAGATTTAATAAATGTATGAACAGATGTGATCATCTTGTAAAACCAGAACATGAACAAGTTAAACTACAGTCCTCACCCAAAACAGCACAGTGTAAAGCAGGCTCATGATTAAATGACAGCCTCCTGAAACAGACTGTATATAGAAGATGGGAGTGATAATCGTGTCAACTCGCTGGTCAGTAAAGTCCAAGGAGTAGATGCGACTCGGGCACACTGCTATGGAGGACCACAAGAGCCGCACACATGGAAATAAAGAATTCTGTGCTTAAATAAATTGTACAATAAATTATGCATTTGTAAATTCACTATTTACAGAATTCTTTATTTCCATGTGTGTGGCTCTTGTGGTCGTCCATACGCCGCACCCTGCATAGCAGGAGCTTTTTCACAATGAGGCCGCCACAACCTGAGGCACTAATTAAAGCAGAGAACGAGAGTGTTCACCCGAGCCGTAGCTAAAAGCCTGGACCCGAGCTGGAAGGGAAAGACTCTCGCCCCATTTAAAAGAAAACAAAAAGCAGTGGTCAGTCTGAGAAAATAAGTAGAATTTTATCATTTTTCCATTTCACACAATACAGTGGAAATACACAAAACCTCCACACAGAGCAGGGATGTCAAACTCGTTTTACATCACGGGCCTGGCTTTAAATGGCCCAGACCAGTGAAGCTTCTCTGTCTGGGAATGCAAAGAAGTTTAACTGCACATTTAATTCCCGCGATATCTTAATATAAGGAAGAAAAAAAAGAAAAGAAATGCATACCACTCAGTTTTGGTACAAGATAAAGAAATCTGTCAGCACGAGTCTTTGGGCTTAAAAGTAAAATTACAGAAAAGTTTCTGGGAGCTCACCGAAACCTGTTAATGATTGTCGATGAAATATTTTGTAGTATTGTAGTAAACCCCCCAAACAAACAGACTGTAAAACCTGCAAAATATAGTTCAAAACCCAAAGTTTATGTCCTTCTTCAGTCTTTGCTGGGCCGATTCTGCCCCCCGGGCTTTATGTTTCACACCACTGAAGTAGAGATTGAAGAGGGGTGGAGATTAAAAAATACTTTGAACTTTCAGACGTTTTCATACCAGGAACAGAAACCAATCAATCGCGGCTGATACAAGAGAAAACATTTTATTCATTACAACCATGAAACTTGGGTTAGACCATACACACATCAGGAAAGTGTTTAATGAGGTTTTAAATCACCAGATTAAAGAATCTGTTTCCCCTCAGGCTTCTTTTTGTAACCTCAGTTTCTTTAACACACAAGCTTTGGCTGTCCATCTTCTATCTACAGTCTTTGGTTTGCAGCTTCATATTGCTGCATTGTTGAATGCGTCATTCCAGCGTGCTGAAAACCCACAGAGGCTGCTGTAAGTGTTGGAGAGCAGCTGTTTAGCATGCAGAGTGGAAAAGGAAGGCGTTGCTTTAATCTGTGGGAAATGAAGGGTGTGGAGCCACTGCAGGTGTAGTGGGTGGATGTCCAGTGGAAGAATATAACATGAGGCACGAGGAACGTGACAATATTGTTGTGTGGAGTGAATGAACAGATTGCAAACACGTCTCTCTTCTTAAAAATCTTTATTAATTATACAAGCGACACATTCAACCATCCATTTAATATTTTTATAAAATGTTCGTCTTGCTCTTTAAGTTAAAACAAAGTCGTCATCTGTTTGTGAATGAAAAAAAAAAAAATATGTGAAGAAGCTTTTCACACAAACTGACCTGAAGTGAGCCGCAGAAAGAAACCATAAAAACACCTCAGAGTGCCAAAAACACCAAGACCGACGCACACTGTTAGTCCTGTAATCACACACACACACACACACACACACACACACACACACACACACACACACACACACACACACACACACACACACACACATGTTTGTACCACGTAAGTGATTTTAGGTTTTAATCCAACTTTTTTTTTTAACATGTGTGATTAAAATTTTCCAAACTGAGCATTAATCGGTTTGAAGACCACGCCTCCACGAGGGCCCGAGTCCGTGTGACCATGCCTTCCAGTCCGTGCCATGTGTTTTGACCTGATGAGCCCACGTTCACCTTGAATTTAAATAAAACTATACAACTGTCAAGTTTTTAAACAGACCACCTTTGTGCTGTTTGTGACGCTGCAACAGCAAACTCTGCAAACTCTTCAACTCTGTGCAGGTCGGAGTGCAATTCAGCTTCAGGATGACAAATCTAACAAGAATCTGACCTTTTATTTGCAACGTATTCCTCAGATAATCCTCAGAACAGCCACTAAATGGACCCTGCTGTTTGATAATTATGTCAGCTGAGCTTTCTATGAAGTACATTTGCCTCCAAATCCATCAAACACACTTTCACTTACTTAGGAAAACAGGTTTAAAATTGTAATTTTATTATGATATTTTCTAAAGTCTCACAGTCTCCGGGTTTAAAGTTAAAACAGACCAGTTAATGAGCTAAACGTGAGGATATTTCACACACTTCAATAAGTTAAATATATTCACCAGCCTGTCGTTTCTATTGAATTTTAAAGTTTACCCTCTGAGGGAGGAAACTCGCAGCCATTTCTGCTGAACTCTCAGACTCTTCCTGATCCTTCGCTGACAGTTTTTGGCTGTGAAATAAAGAATTTGAGGCCACCCAGTAACGAACCTTTAACAGAAGAGTCCATCCTGTGGAATACGACAGTAAAAATAAAGCTTAGCTTTGCATAAAAACTGGACATGCAGAGAACTGGAGCCTGGATCACCTGACAGCAGCGGTAAAGCCCACCAATTAAAAATGTTTTATGTGCTGGATGACTTCTTTCCCTCGATTTCATTTTTGAGGACGGGCGTTTGGACGTGGCCAGTAAAACTAACTCGGACTGCTCCCATGCCAGTTTCACTCATGATGTCATGTTCAGACTCAAGCGCATCATCTCACTGTTCTCTCTGGCATTAAATCTGCATCCACCTTTGCAGACGTGCTCCGAAACTACACACTGTTGTGGCTCCCTTATTATATACTTTTTAAACTTAAATTTAGGAAAAGTTCATATTAAGAACAGCTGTGAAATTTTATTCCCAGTTTATAATTTAAGGAGCGAAACTGTTCCTTCACATCGCTGATGGTCTGTTTACACGCGCTCTAAAGATTATGGTAACACTCCAGTCCAGCAGGTGGCGGTAACGCAGAAGACTGAACAACAAAAATGAGCAGGTACAAGCGACGCGTGTCGGAGAGGCCATGCTCGACTTAAAGCAAACACACAGACTATAAACTGGGGACTTCCTCAAGTTATCTTAAAGTCAGTGAAAATGTAACAAAATACCAAAAGTTTCAATTTAAACTAATCACCAAAAAAACCCAGAAACAACTTTCAAAACAACAAACCGCCGGCCTTCTAAAACAGCCGGGGTGGCGTGCCCGAGCGTGCCACGTGTTCAAAACCCAGAAACTGTTTTGAGATCTCGATGAGCTCGAGCCGAGAGTCAGACAGGAAGAGACACACAGACAGTGACACTTCAGAGCCAGCGGCGATTCAAGTTAAAACAAACATGGGAGCAGTTCGAGAGGTCGAAGGCTTTGCTGTGCTTCTGCTCGCATTTCATTTATCCGACTCTCACACTTTCAGTTCTGGACGGACACCTGACAACGACACCTTAAACTCATTTCTCAGTAAGACCGCAGCTCTGCGTCCAGATTTACTCGTGAGCATCTAAATGTTTCAAAGCTGCAGGAAACCAGTAAAAATCTGTCACGCGGGAAAAATTCTTCTCACAACTATTTCTACAGCAAAGTGTCCGAACAGCTGCGGCAGATGTGCCGGTGGAGGAGTCTCCAAATGCAGAGCGCACGTCTCCCGACGTCTGCTGGAGCCGCTCAGCTGGTCTGGGTTCAGTCTCTGTAATCAATAGTTCGCCGATTTATCGATCAGCTGCAGTCGCAGCTCAGACTCTGTCTCCTGCCGTCTTGTTGTTGAGTCCCAGAGCCTGAACCACGTCCACACTGAGGCCGCTCTTCAGAGTCCTCCTCACTGAAACACACAGAAACAACGTCAGCATTACAGGAAGCTGGGGCTCAACTTTCTTCTTCATTGATTTTGATTCTTTTCACAAAACTCTTCAGAAAATCTTCAGCCCAAAAATAAAAAGTTTAAAATATCTCCTGCCTACGTCTTAGAACAGACCAAAGAGGAGGCTCGGGTGGACCAGCGACTCCCAGCTTCTGCCTGATAACAACTATTTTACTTGGAAGAAGAAAAAAAACCAGCCATTTATCTGCTCCTAGAAGAACTCGTTCCTACAGGTCTTCATAACACATCTTTCTGTGCTATTCCACACATATTTCTCTATTATACCATTTTTCAGCCTTTTTCTCAGATTTATAGCGTAAATGTACTAATTACTCATGTAATCTGCACTAGTTTCTTGCACAGTGTCAGTTTTAGTCATGCAAATGTAAATAATCATCATCATCATCATCTCCTCGAATCTGAGAAGCCAGAAGCTGCAGATTTGTGCGTCTTTTGCTTTAAAACACCTCGTGAAGGTCAAACACTCCAAAAATGTTCCAATCAAAGATTGCAGTTTATCGCACTGCCGCCAAGTTACTTAGAAATGAGTCTGCAGCCTGCGAGCAGCAGTTCATCGTGTCCTGCGCTCAGCAGTAGGATGATGATGATTATCTGCTGCTGTGGACAGATTTACTGAGGAAGTGCAAACAGTGATATGAAGCTGCACAGATATCAGCTTGTTTTGGACACACAGCTGCTGTTGTGTCTCCACGCAGTCTGAACCAGACTGAAGCTCAGAGGACTCGACCTTCAGCAGGACGGGTCCCTAAACCTTAAATAACACAGCAGGGGAACGTGAGGGGCAGCCGCTTCCCCTCGCTCAGGTTTCGCTTTTCAGGTCGTCCTTTGGAAAGCAGCGTTGCGTTCGTCAGTTTAAACTGTGAGTGGAAAAAAGTGACTAAAGTAAAACAAAAAGAAGCTTTGAAGAATTCTCAAAAGCAAAAATTTAAACATGAGTGAAACCGTCTTCAGCTGTGTTTGACCAAAATCATAAAATTCACTAAAATTAAATAAACAAATACATAAACGTGAAAGACTTAAAAAAGAAAAAAAAGAAATGTGGTTTTTCTTCCGGGTGCCCCTCAGCAGGCTTCTGAAAGTTAGCCAGTTAGAAGAAAGCACGTATGGAGGGCGGAGCTTAAAGAGACAGGCGCTCATTTCAGACAGATGATGAACTACATGAGACTCATTTAAATGAAAATGCTGATTTTAAGCCAATAGACTGCTTTTGCAGAAATGCACCCTGGGAGTTGAAGTCACATAAAGCCTCGACTACACTCTGTTAGGGACGGCTGGAGACCCGAAGGCTCAGCAAATCCAACACAGCCTAAATGCTCCGCCCACAAGTCTGCAAGGTCACAAAAAATTAGGCACGTCCTCGCACTCACCATCTGATGACGTCACAGGGAATCAATATTAAGAAGTAAATTCATACTCACGGGACTTCCTATTCAGTCGGGACCGCTTGCGGTTCTTGGGGCTGGACGATCTGCCGGAGGGATTCTGGGTAACAGACTTGACGAGTCGGTCCATGATCTCATCTGTGGCGTCGTCCTGGGAGCTCGTCTCGTCTTCTTTGGCTAAAGACATCTTGGGCGGCTCCACCCGGCCGAGACCTGAGGACCAGAACCGGAACATTAGCCACGAGCAGGAACGCGATAAGGAGCAGGGCGAGGGCGCCTGGGTGTTCCCATCCCCAGCTGCTCGAACTGGTTCAGAGTTTAGTAGTATTTATCCCAATTTTCTAACTTTCGGCTTAATTTCAGTGTGACGCAGCATCTGCCAGACTCACTAGACGTCCGAATATTTAACAGTAAAAACGAAATTAATTCAGAGCGTGCCGAAACAATCGCTCATTACGTTAGTTTATAAATGGAGTCATTATGTTGATGGAAATGTTCGGAAAAGAAAACTTTTTTTCATTTTAACCAACCAGAGTAACTCTGAATGAGCCCTGAAGGACGTTTCTACAGCGTCCGGTGGAGCGGCGCCGGCCGCTGATGGCTCTACTCAGATTTAAGCAAAAGAAAATGATTTCACTTTTTTCTCTGCAGCTCCAGCAGAGGTGAAAATATTCAATTTTTCATGCTTTCCAATAAAAAAGAAAAAGCTGATTTAGCGTGTCTGAGTTCAAATCACGACGCAGTCACATTTTTCTGCGTCCTCACTCCGATGACATCAAAATGTGGGGAATGTCGTGCTGCAGACCAGATCTCTATGTCTGATTTTACTGGTTGAACGCTCATTTCTAGCAAAAGCAGCACGAGCCTGACGGCCTTAAAGTTAAACTGATGCCGGAGGTGAACGTGGCGCTGACAGTCAGTTATTGTGGGAGTCGTGTGGAGGTGAAGAAAGCTGCTGGTCTTACTGCGGACGGCTCGGGAGCGCCTCAGGCCTCTCTGATCACAGTTCAGGGTGCTGCTGCGACTGATCAGCAGGTTCTTCATGTTCTCATGCTCCTCCTCCTGATCTTGGTCTGCCTCCGCTGCCATAGAAACGGGGGACGGGCTGTCCGGACGTGACACCGCCCCTGAAAACTTCTCCGTCTGAGGACGGGAGAAAGAGGATAAGCCCACTTTAGAATATAATATCTGTAAACAGTGATTTAATCTCTAGATTGTAAATGTTTTCTTTTATTCCTCTCTGTTCAACAGTGAATTCTGGTGGCACCCTCTAAGGATCGAAGAAGCGTCACAAACTGCAGTTCCTCGAGTGGCCACTGGAGGCATACTCCAAAAGTGAGTCACTCCCCATAGACTTCCATGTTAAAATATCCAACTTTACAGCAGAGTTAAACGCATTTACAGCCTGCTGCAGAAAAATGTTTTGGTCTGTGAAGCTGATTTCCTCCTTTGCAATAATCACACAGGCAGTAAACTGATTTATACCTCGTCCATTTGAATTTAATTAAAGCCTGAAGATGGAGGCGTGGCGGCTCTGATTGAGAGGTGTGTTTGCAGTGGTTTAAATTGTACTGAAAGATCATCCGAGAAGTTCAGTGAGATTCAACCATTATGTGAATCTGCTATTTAAAAACTACAAACCTGGGAAGCTAGAAGTCTGTGGGCTTTGGTGCCGTTCTCTAATTAATACAAATATTTGATATTCTATGTAGATAACGGTGTTAACTGATTGGCACTGGCTTAAATCAAGTAACTCAGATTTTGTGATTCTGTTGCCGCTGACCTCTGACATGCAGGGGAGAGTCTTACCTCGGTGATCATCTTTCCTCGCGTCTTGGTGCGCTCTCGGTGAACTGCGCGTTTCCGTTTGATGGTGAGCACTCGCTCTCTGGTGGTGCGATATTCCAGAGCGAACTCGCTGATGATCCGACAGAAATTTGTCACCTTGACGTCTCTGACCGAAGACGACGGCTGACCCAGGAACAGCAGGAAGGAGTGGAACCTGGAGGAGGAGGAGGTCAGTGCATCATCGTGCCGAGGACAGTGTGTGTGTGTGCGCGCGCGCATGCTGATGTGTCACCTGTTGATGACTCTCCTGTGGACGACCTTCAGGATGATGATCCTCTGCGTGCAGTCCTTCAGGAAGTCCGTTAGTTTGTTCTTCAGCGCCGCTTTGGTTTCATGTTTGGCCACCACCTTCAGGTTGTCCCATGATGCTTTGCAGCGTCTCTCAAGCTGGACCAGGTTCTCCGATAGCAGCTCAAAGTCCACCTGGAGAAAAAAGTAAACTAGTCAGCACCAGGCGATTTTACATCAGGGCGGCGTGAAGGTGAGAAGGACTGAACTGTACTTTGGCCGAGCGGGTGATGGCGGGGATCTCAGAGTAGACGTCAGAGGATTCTGGGTAATTTTCCACCACCAGGTTACAGGTGTGATGAAGCAGAGACTGACGGTGAACCGTGTCCTTCACCTCCACCACTTTCTCCAGGTAACTCAGCTCAAAGCCTTTAGCCTGCGCACACACATGCACACACGCACACACAGATTCAGAGGACGATGTTTGATCTCCGCCTGAAATCTCCAATCTTGACTCTTTGTTTAGAGGAATAACAAACTGGCCCTCGCTGTCAGAGATACGTTTGGATGTAAACAAAGCACCGTGCACGTGTTTGAGATTCTTACCCATCACAGAGGCGTCTCATTGGCCAGATCTAAGATCCCAGACGAACTACCGCTTGAAGACACGCAACCATGGTAACCAAACCCCACCCATGACATGATCCAAGTAATGATTAGCACATGTGAAAAGTACACTACACCCAGTAAAGTAAAGATACTTGAACTAATAGATCATCACCATCCAGCAGTGTCTGTTGTGACACAGGTCACTACTGCATTGCATTGTGGGATATTATATTACAACATTCCCACAGAAATAGCTTGGACGTGGTGTAGTGTCCAGCAAAACAGCCCTGCAGCGCTCTAACTGTTCTTTGTGACTTCAGCGAGGTCAAACAGCTGGGATCACTTCCTGGGATCTGTTTTTCTGACTCCACTGATTTATCAATGATAAATTAGTACATCAGAGGATTTGAATAAATACATATGTGCAGGCTTTTTAAAGGTCTGATTCAGAGTGCCAGCACGTGGAAATAAAGCTTAAATCAAGCTCTTTCAACCTGATTTTATCTCACTTTTAATAACGTGCAAATATATAAACACAAACAAATGAAAGCTTCAGCCGAAAGTCAGTTTGAGAGCACAAACCTCCCTCTTGACACAGTACTGCAAAATCTGAGCTTTCCCTTTAGAAATGTAAAATGCTGCTGTGTATTTATTCTAGCTTGGTTTGCTAGTCTGTAACCTTTACAGTTTAAACTGTGCTGTCATGATGATGATGAAGATGGCGACGACATCCTAACAGCGCCTTCAATCCCCTTCTGTTAGGGCAGCAAACACGATGCACAGCCTCTGGAACAGCCCTGCTGTGGTTTATGTTCAGTTCTCTTTGATGTGATAAAGTGAGGAGGACAGCAGCTGTTAGCAGACCTGCTGCTACATCCTTTTTAATCAGCCATTCAATATTTTAAGCCCTGGTTCATTTACTGTCACAGATCATAAAACTCTTCCTAAACGCCGATGTATTCAGTTTTTATAAAGAAGTCGGGGAATAAACATCTGCTTCCATCTTCCTGTGAGTAACCGTGCATACAGCCTGTCTGTGAACAGCAGGGTGCAGTGAAGGAAACGTGAGGCTGTGGCTCTCGTGTTGTGTAGCAGCTGCTGTCGGCTCAGATTGAAGCACCGCTGACCTCCCTGCTGCTGACTGGCTGCAGTCAGAGTGCTGTCACATGTCGCTGAACCACCAGGGAAAAGTGTTTTTAACCTGACAACCACACTACTCTGTGCAGCAGCTGTTCAGTTTATTTGGATACGTCTGGAATATGTTATCACTGCCTGCTGCAGCAGTAAAATCCCTCATATGCAAGTATGTTTACTTTAATGACGTGTACAAACTGCACGTGAGTTTTTCTAACCATGGAGAGATTCACATTTCCTGCTGCGAGAGTTGAGTTTCTACACCTCTTGTCATGTGTGTGTTTGTCTATTTAGACAGCTTTGTGGGTACAGTTAGGATTGTGTTAGGGTGAGGCTGAGGGTTAGGCTGAGCGGCTAGGGAAAGCATTATGTCCTCACTAGGATATCAAACTAGAATGTGCGTGCGTGCGTGGGGTTGGGTCCCTCCTCACGTTGGAGCTGTTGAGGAAGTTTCCGATGGCGAGCAGCGTCGCCAGGATTCTCCTGAAGGTCTGATTGGAGGCGAGCTGCTCCATGCCGAGCTTCAGGTCAAACAGCGGTTCGGCTATCTCCTGCAGGGGCGACACAGTCACAGTCTCAGCATTGCAGTATAACAGCCTAACTATAATCAGATCCAGTTTTTCTGTAATCTTGCTGAGCTGAACTCAGGTGACTTTCAGGTGTAAATCTTCTAATGATCTGCAATCAGCTCGCTTACCTTCTCCAGAGCCTCGTAGTTCAGTTTGAAGGCCCAGAGCTGAAGGCGGGGGGTCAGGCCATTGATGGAGGCCAGGGTGAGCAGGAACTGCTCTGCTGTGCCCAGAGGGAGGTCGGGATTGGCGAGCTGAGCCTCCTGGATCTTCTGCTTCTCCTCCTCTGTGGGGGTCATGGTCAGGATCTTCTGCTCAGGACAGAGAGAGGGCCCATAGCGTTAAAGTTGAAGATGAAACAGCAGATGGATCAGACTGTGATCCGTCCGCACACAGGAAGTCACCCCTACCTCGATGCCCTCTTTGCTAATGGCGAACTCGTCGAAGCTGAGAATGGCCGACTTGATGACGTGGATCGCTGGCAGGACGGTCATACCGATGTTGATGGCGTTACTCCTCTTTGAGTCCAGAACCAGAATCTCAGTCTTCTTGGTCTCCGGTCCTTTCTGCACACAAGCGACATGTTAGAAACGCGACGAGTGCGACAGTTTTCCTGCTCAATAATTCCTCCTCCAGCTTTGGAAGAGAGCCGCTCGAGCGCGACTAGCAGTGTCAGCGCTTCCTGTGATGTCATAAAGTTACACAGTAACACTTCTTAACAATCATCACTTTTAATGGTAAACTGATAATTGGTTAAACTAAACACACTGATCATGTTCATTTTCTGTTTAGTATTCACTGCTTGTTTAATTTGTGGTTTGAGTTGAAACATTAAGTGTAAAAGTGAAGGGATTTTACAGCCCGCTGGAGCCCCCTGGTGGTCAAACTGTGGCAGACCGCTTTAAATGAGCTTGTATGTGTTTGACATTGGATACTCTTTCTGCAGCCCGCCTTTTTACAGCCTCTCGAGTGCATCTCATTTTGCTCTCTGTGGGTCTCAGGCAGGGTTTTAAGTTTTTTTTAAGAGAATCTATCATCCACCCACCTTGGTTACAGGGAGCTCCTTGCCTTTGGACTCAAACAGATGCTCGAGGCGGGCGGTGTCCACCGCCACCTTATCCAGAGACGCCCACACCGTCCCCCGACCGAAGCGACACTTCTTCGGTCCGTCTGCCTGCTTCAGCTCCTTCCAGAACAGCTTCACCGTCTTCTTCTTCTTCTTCTGAGAGGCCTCAAGAAGAGGAGGAGGGGGGACACCTGGTGGAGGTGGAGGAGGAGGGGGTGCGAGGCCTCCTGGTGGAGGAGGTGGAGGAGGAGGGGGTGCAAGACCTCCCGGTAGAGGAGGTGGAGGAGGAGGGGGAGGAGCCCCCGGCATGCCAGGAGGGGGAGGAGGAGGGGGAGGGATTCCAGAGAGGGTGAAGGATGAAGCGGAGCTGTCGAAGGTGTCTATGTCCAGGACGTCGATGTCCTCCTCGTCCAGCAGGTCAGAAAAGTCCAGGTCCTTGATGCGTAGGGCGGCGGCGCTCGGCTGCAGCTGGTCCCAGGCGTCGTTGGAGCTGCCGGGGCCTAGCGGGGTCATCTGGGTGGTGTCCAGACTGGCGGCGTGCGCCTCGGTGTCGATGCTGCTCTGGTGCCGGATGTAACGCTTCTGATGGTGGATGGAGACACATTTATCAGCTTTACGTTCAACCTTCAAACTGCACACATGAGCCAAAACATGATGCGGCCCCGCAACTCCACCTGCTCTTTAGCACCAACGTGAAGCCAGCGGGCCTCAAACTGGAGCCACTGATGCAGGCGGGTGTGGGAGGGGCTACAACAAGAAAGCAGCACCACTTTAATAAAACAGAGGAGCTGCAGAAGCATGCTCTCTGTTATTATTGCATGTCATGACTTGTAGAATAAATTTCATGAACAGCAAACGCTGATTTGTTCTGCTCGCCATGAACGTCGTGTCTCAGAAATGACCTCAGCACTCGTTACAGGAACTCTGCTGAGCTCCTCACGACATTTCAGAGAATCTCTAGAGTCCTGTTGGAGAAGTTCAGCTCCTCACCTGAATGTTCTCATAGACCCAAGAAACTCTACTTATCCAGACCATCAGGTTTTGGCTCATGCCTGTACAGTAACTCGGTGCATCAACTAAAACCCGATTCACTTTAAAGATAGATGCAGATAAGTGACTAAAGAACGAAGGATAAACCGAGTACAGAAACACTGCTTTTAAAAACCTGCGGATCCGCAGAGAAGAAGAAGAAAAACATCTGCAGACAGAATAACGTCCTTCATGTTCTGACCTGTTCTTCAGCCAGTCGGGCTCGTGCCGCCTGCGTTGAGCCTTCCAGACTCTCCAGCTCTGCCCTGCGGGAGGCGCTGCTCTCGTTGGAGGTGGAGGACTCTGCCGAGCGCGCTTTGAAGCTGGACAGACGCTCAGTCACACGACCCCGAGCAGCCACATCGTCACCTGATGGGAAATGGAACGAAATCACAAAAGAACAGAAGAACGTTTTTGCAACTTTATTTATTGTCATAATATTAATAAAGTCTGGGATGTGCAGCGAGCTGCAGAAAAGCGGCTCTCTCACCAGGCACGAAGCTCCTCTCTTCTTCATTGGTGTCTGCAGCTGCAGAGGGGCTCATGGGTCCCGTCTTTGAGTAGAGCATGTCGAGCATGAACTTTGTGTCGTTGGATAACGTGCTGCCCTGTCGCTGCACAAGCGGTGCTGCAGACAAAAACACTGGTTTTTAAGTTTATGCCAACAGACTGATTCAGGAGAAGATGTGTCCTGCAGTTCCTGTCTCTGCCTGTAGAGGGCAGCTGTAGGCTCTCACCTGGGTCATCCTGGGAGTCTGAATGTCCGTTTGTTTCCAAACTGCTTGATGTTGAGTCTGAACACACACACACGAAGCAGAAGAGTGGCTGTCAGCTCACACATTCACTTAATCTGGAGTCACAGGAGCAGCATTAACACCATCACACAGTAACAGAACCACATGTACATCAGGAGGCTGTGTGCAGCTCTCTGACTGTAATGTGAAGCTTTACCGTGACGTGACGGCACTTCGGCTGCGCCCTCGTCCGCTGTCCCCTCCAAAGTTGACGTTACGGCATCATCAAGTGAGGGCAACTTAATCTCGCTCAAGTCTTTAGTTTTTCGCTTCCTCTGCCACTGTTGGGCAGCCAGGATGCGCAGGAAGGCGTCTCTGAGAAAAGAGAGAGGAGAGGGGGGAAGGGATTAGACCTGATCCCAGACTTCGAGGCTGCTTTGAGGAGCCGGGAGGCAAACTCTGGACTTCTCGCGTCAAGTTAAAGAGGACCTTTTCAGTCTCTTCTCTTATTTCCCCGTCTTCTTCTGATCGTTGCACTTTTGGACGATCATATTAAACAAAGGTTTGGCCAAAGTTTCAAATAAATAGGTCAACATATTTAAAAGCTCAGGTGCTATTTATGGAGGTTTGCCAATCAGGAGGCAAATTTAAGTGGAAAAGGTCCCCCTTAAGTTACTTTAATACTGAATCATCGCAGTCAAACTGATCTCAGATTCATTTTTATTCTCAACTGCAAACCAAACCAGATTAAACACCAGCAATTAGACTCCACCCAGAGTTACAAAAGACAAAACCAAACCAAACTCAGGACCGGAGGACGCCGTCAGCCCCACCACCAGCAACACACCCCTCCCCCCACATCCGCAGCACTGAAACATCCCACCGGTGCAGATTTATGACTTTAATATGTCAGGATTTGGACGGACCGCTGAGCCGCGGAGCCAACAAACACACACAAACCCAAACACATAATTTTTATATGGTGTTTTTATTATTCAGTTGTTCTTGGCCACCAAAGAATCTCTTCTCATTTCAGCGTTCAGAGGTCCGCGCTAATTTAACATTTTCTAGTTAATTTTATGAAATGAGACGCTCTTTGGTCACATGAGGGGGTCAGTGTGGATGCATGGTAATCATAATGTGTCTGTTTGTGACAGCGTGCAGTTTCCTCATCGATGACTGGTTCTACAAAAAAAAAAAAGCTGTGAGTAGGAGAGACTCACAAAACGATTGGTCCCAAAGTTGGAGCCGGCGATGGGCTCCTCTAAGAAAAGTCATATTTAGATAAAAGTGGAGCAGAAGCAGGAGACGCTTCTGAAAAGTCCAAACCACCTTCCAAACATAACCGACTGTGTTACTGCTGAAAACAGGGCCGTGTGGGCTGTTTTCTCACTCTTTGTGGTTGTTTTGCATCTTTTATCTGAGGTCACTTCGTACAGAGACACGGGGGTCCTTGGTTATCGCTGCCCATCCACGCCTGTAGTCACTTTGAAAGCATAAAGAGTATTTTGTAACGTTTCCGTAGAATGTGCAGAAACTTTATTAGTTACATATTCAGACAGAAATATTATTATATCATCTTTGATTAGTTTAAAGTCTTTAATAGTGGCAGAGATTTGGAGGCGGCTTAAGAGGTTTCTCTCAGCCAAGTGGAGAGAAACACTTCTTACGTGAGAAATTGTTTTTACACAAGTTTTAGCTGCAAGCATACTGAAAAGTATGCTATACCATGTATATCAATACACATGTAGTTAGCTTATTTGTACCAGTACAGTGCAGTACAGTGGAGTGGAGAGCGGTACTTTTGGAGATGGAGCGGGTCCAGGTCCGGGGGACCGCAGAGCTGCCGGGTTCGGCTCTGCGATCGACGATCTGGGCTTCACGTCTGTGTTTAGTGGCTGCAGCTGCCTCCCAAAAAGCACACAGCTACATTTTTGCTTCACTTTATGAGTTTCTATTGTTCTGGTCTGAACCACAGGAGGACAACAGATCCAGACCAGGACCAAGAGAAAACTACAGCAGGGTTTGTGTGCTGGGAAATAGATAATCTACATTTAGCACAGAGATACTGGAGGCTTTGCTTGTGCTTCTCATTTGTGTGAGACTTGAGCTGAGAACATTAGAGACGGCGTCACTTTGAGCTTCTTTGATCCGTTGCTGCACATCCTGCTGCAAAATGTGACCCCGCAGCAGCTAAAGACCCTGACATGCACACAGACTGCATGTAACATGTGACAATGCATGAATGCATCCAACGCATGTTTCCATGCTACATCCCGCTGCTACAAACAAGCTTCAGCTTTCTTTGAAGGAATCTCTGAGCGTTTCCTTTTACAGTGCTGCTTTCTCTCTTTGGTCAGTCGACACAGAACGGCAGCCATCGTTGGCTGAAAGATCACGACGAGACCGTGCATGGCGTCATTACACCGAACGACATCGGCACGATTCTTTCACGCCGGTCGCCTCGTTTGAAAACCCAAAATGACATAAAAGCAGCAGCCTTAAATCTGCATTAAGGGAGTTTAAATGTCACTCAGACAGCGTCATAACACACAACCCAACCCACTGAGGTGATGCAGTCCAACCAACACACACACACACACACACACACACACACACACACACACACACACACACACACACACACACACACACACACACACACACACACACACAGGTGAGTTACCGTCACTTTGAATCACATGAATTAATCACTTCCCGTTGACTCACCTTTACTCCAAACTACAAAGAGTCCTAAAGTTGATTTCAGTGATGACACACACAACCCAAACACAATCACCAGAGCCCGACAACCATCCCTGCAACTCCCAGCATGCAGTGGGGCTGCACCAGTACTTACTCAAACTTCCTCAGCACCGGCTTGTCCTGATTTACATTACAGTCAACTGGGCTGTAGAGACACAATACACATCTGAGCATGACACACGCACACACGCACACGCACACCAGCAGGCTTTCATCATCCTGTTCAGGCAGCAGTTGCATGCTGGTAACCGGCTACTTTAACGTAAAACCTGCTGACAGGTGCTCAGCTGCATAAAAACCCTTAAAGGAGCCCCTTCAAAGTCAGACCTCTGTATCTGTGGCCCAGCTTCTAACAATGAGACAATCCAGAGAATCACGTAAAAAAGCAGAAACCGAAACCAAACAAATAGAGCCTGAAAAGAAAAGTGTTCAGCACTGAGAGATGAATGAGGTCAGTTAAAGGTTCCCCTCCCTTATCGAAGCACCTGAATCCAGCCTGATGTACAAAAGTGTTACTAGTCAAAGACTCATTTTATGCAGCTGAACACCAGACTGACGACTACAGACACACAGGACGATGAGGAGGAGCAGGAGGAGACGTGTACTTACCAGAGGAGCTCCTCATCCTCCCCAGAGCTGGGAGAGGAATAAAAGGAGACGGGGAAAAAAAAAAAAAAAAAAGGAGCAGGAATTTTGGAGGAGAGACAAACATACAACACATTATAATGTTATAACTGAAAGAGGAAGTGCGCCGAGAGTAAAGAGTAATAACGGCGAGAGCGAAGACGCTGCGGCTGAACTTTTTACCGTCTGCAGCCCTTCTTACTGCATCGTCACAGTTTTTATCAAACTGAAAATCAGAGCCAAAAATCATCTTTGACAAAAAAAACTAAAAGAAAAGGTAACGAGACAACAACAACTTAAACATGGAAGAAAAAGTTCAACTAAAATGATCCAAAAAGATAAAAATGTCAGATTTTAAAAGATCGCAATAAAGATGATAACAGATAAGATAAAGAAACAGTCCTAAAAAAGTATCGTTTTAGAAAGAAATAAAAACAACGTCAGGAAATTATCCAGGAAAACTGACATAATCCATCTCAAAATAATAATTACATTTTCCATAAAATTATCTGGATGCTCTATACACGGGATTGAACGGGAAAACATCAGCCAGGAATTTAAACACAGAATATAATCAAGTTTTTATAAAAGAAAAATAATGAAGGTCACAGATTAAAATAACCCACAAAGTTCCAGAACAACGCTGGACCATTTAAAAGGCTAAACCTGATCCCTCCTGCAGTGATGACCCTGCACAGCGATGCCAGAGACGCGTGGTTTAACCGTCCGTTAAACAAACAAACAGAAAAAACAGAGCGCCCCCCCCAAAAATCAACTGATTCACTTACTTCGCTTTAGTTTTGGGCTCCGTCTTGTTGTCGAGCTGCTGCAGATTCGACTGGGAATTCTCGCGCAGAGAGAGATCTGGCGAGGATGGACTGTAACACACACACACACACACACACACACACACACACACACACACACACACACACACAGAAGAGAGTGAGACTGCTTTAAAAACATTGCTCTCTGCCAGTTCATTCCACCACTGCTGTGTGTGTGTGTGTGTGTGTGTGTGTGTGTGTGTGTGTGTGTGTGTGCGCGCGCACGCTGCTCCACGTCTGCAGCGACCATCAAGAAAATCAGTGCTACTGTCAGCGTCTGGCTGGTCAGTGAGGAACATGTGACCAGATGTTAGATGAACCCTTAATGAGTTCCTGTTACAGCAGGTTTTTCACAGAGCTGTGTGGACAGCAGAGTGGATGTGACCGAGTCCACGGTGAGTAAGACTGAAAGCTAAAAGTTCAGCTACACCAGTTTACACAATAGTTGCCTTAAGCTTGTGTGGTATGAGAAATATACATGATAGTGAGAAACGCATGTTATTGGTCTGTGATTTTGCAACAAAACGTAAAATAAATAATGACAGTGATTGTGAATCCTAAAGGGACTGAAGGCATGGCAGCGGACAGAGTGCTGCAGGGAGCACGAGCATGACTGCAGAGTGTTTGTTAGTCGACAGCAGACAGGCAGGAGTCCTGGTTGCAGGTTTGAGGTCTGTCTCAGTGCTACAGACCTGCAGTCGGCCCGATGCTCCTCAGAGATGGAGCTGGTTTTGGAGAAGAACCTGGACTTCCTGCTTAGACCCAGAGACGACATGTGGTGGCTGAGGAAAGAGCGACTCCTAGTGGTCAAGATGCAGGACAGCACAGCGAAGGAGAGAGAGAGAGGGGAGGGAATCGGTGGTTAAATCAGAGACAGAACCGACACCAAGACACCCAGATGAGGGGGGAAAAAAAAACAAAAAACCCCAAACAGAAAAAGAGCCCGAGATAAGAGGAAGAAAAAACATAACCAGAGGTGAGAGAAGGCGTCCACGGTGGTGTGATTTGTTGAAAATCACCACAACTGGAAAATCCTCCTGATTATTCTGCCATCATGACAATAATCACCTTTAAAAATATTTACACCCGTTTTTAAAATCAAACCAGTCACTTAACTAAAACAAGAAAACTTAGAATGTTTAGGCCAGCGGTGGGGATCTCCAGGCCTCGAGGGCCGGTGTCCTGCAGGTTTTAGATCTCACCCTGGGTCAGCACACCTCAATCACATGATTAGGCCTCTGGAGAACTTCAAGACATGTTGAGGAAGTCATTTAGACATTTAAATCAGCTGTGTTGGATCAAGGACACATCTAAAACCTGCAGGACACCGGCCCTCGAGGCCTGCAGTTTCTCCAGGCGGTGGTACATGTTCAAATAAGGACCACATGAAGAACAGGATGCAACGTTTCCCAGCAAAACATTCCTCTGCAGTGACAGGATCGCTGCTCCTCACGTCAGCTGTTTTCAGTGTTTCTGTTGTTATGGCTGATTGGTGTTTAGATTATAATATAGATCATGACGGTTTCACGAACTCGAACAAGTCTTGGTTGTGAACCCAGAATGACTGAAACCAGTTTCCCCTCTGGCTCTGCAATGACTAAAACACGACTAACATTCAACCTGCCGGCGTCCCTTTAAACGCCCGTTTCTGCAGAGGCCAAACACGAGCAGAAAGGTTTACCCGCTGAGGACAAACATTCCTGCTGATTGAACTCACAGAAAAGCTGCTTCCAAACAAAACACACCCCCCCGTCTCCCCCCCTCCTCCCTCCGTCTGTCGGGCTAAACTTGGTAAACTGAGCAGCGGGAGAAGGCGACGGCGCAGACCACAACACCCGAGGGAGACGCAGTCTGACCGCTGCCTCCGATTAACAGCCGACACGGCGTTTGACCTGCAGGAGAGTCACGATTGCAGGAAGGACTTCAGGTCGTTTCCTCCCACAAACCTGCAGAAAAGCACGCTTGCACATCTGAACCTCCGCTACTGCCTTGATTTCAGGTTTCTACTTGGGCTCCGTTTAGCGAAACGTCTGGAGCTGTTGAATGTTATACTAGCTCTCATTGATTCGTCTAATTGATTATTAATGATCAGAATCAGGAGGTAAAGGTCACGAGCAGAGTGAACTCACGGGCTTGGCGGCGTTTTTGTTCCCTGCTCCGTGTCCACGGTGCCGTTGGGGGACATGTGGGGCGGCAGCGGAGATTCTGTCCGGGATCCGGACGGACTGGAGGAGGAGCTGCTGTGCTCGGAGGCCAGCGGGGACGAGGCCCTGCTGCCGAGACCTGCCGTGGGGCTCGGGGAGGAGATGACCGGGGAGACGGTGGGAGACGCAGCGGGGGAGACTGTGGGAGACGCAGCGGGGGAGGTGGCTGGTGACACTGAGGAGTTGACAGAAGATGACAAGAAGAGGGTAGGAGTGGTTGGGGCGGTGGAGGGAGATGAGGACGTGGGCGAGGTGCGGGCGTTGAGAAGATTCTGACTGGACAAGTGGCGGCGGCCCCTCGATCCGTCCTGCTCGCCGGTCGCCAACTTTCGTCTCTCTTTACGTAGGAGGGGGGAGGAGTCATCCACCTCACCGTCTTCGTACTTCAGAGTATTCTGCACACACGCACACACACGCACACACACACAGAAAGACTGAGCATGCTCTAAGATCCCTCATATAAGGGGTAACAGAAGTCACATGACTGAATGATGATGTGCTGGTTACAGATGTGCGGCTCATAAATCCAATGCTTCTCATATTAGCGCCATAAATCCTGCGATTGCTGCTCGTTACACACTGAAGCAGCATCACTGTGCACACACATCCTAAATCTCGCCGTATCAGCACTCAATGTTGGGATGTTGTGCAAAATGCAAATAAAGCTGAGATGGAGCCACGATTTTTTTATTGATAACAGTAAATGTTTTTAAAGGTTGAACTACAGCAGGGCAGCTGTAGCACTCAGGACCTGCTGGCAGGGCGCTTTCACCGAGAGACTTTCACTGAAAAAGACGTCTGTTTGGAGGCAGCACGTGTTCCTCAAAAATGGAAATGTATTTAAATCCCCGTTTCTCGTCGTTACCTCGTATATGGTGAACTGCGTCCGCAGGTCTGGCTCCGTCCCCTTGTTGTTCATGTGTTTGCGGATGACGGCCTCCATCCCCAGCAGCTCCAGCTTGTCCGTCACATCGTAGAACGAGTCCTGGTCCGGGAGCGCCACCAGAGTCTGAGAAGCACACGGAGGAGTGAGTTTGTACTTCCCAACTTCTGACCTTCTCGCTTACATTTGGAAATTTTGCTTACCTTGTTGATGAGTGTCATGGCAAACACGAGCAGCTCCGTGTCGGCGCCGTTCCTCTCCTCCAGGACCTCCATCATATAACTCCATGGCTTCGCAGCTGCCAGACACACACAAAAACACGTGATCATCATACGGCTGAGCACCTGGTGAAGCTACCCACGTCACATTCAGGGCATCCGTCTAGGAAGAGGTGATAGGTCACATGGAGCAGCTAATGAGAGTAAACGTTACAGACACGTTATATGTGATCTTACATAAAACCATCATCTGCGTTTTTGTGCGCACCTCTCTGTCCAGCCACGGTGTTGACGGCTCTGATGAGCAGAGGACTGTTGGACTCCGAGTACTCCACGAAGACGATGAGCAGCTTCAGGGCAGTTTTCACCACCAGGCGAGACTAAAGCAGGAAAAACGTGTTGAGTGTTTGACCAGCAGGTGGCGTCGCACCACTGCTCTGAGGTCCGAGGACTCACCGAACTTCCCGTCAGCGTGTACAGCCACTGCACCGTCTCGTTGTGGTTGATCACTCCGTTCATGCCGTCCACAAACAGCATGATCTGACTGAGAGCTGAGGACACACAGACCGATGGATGAGCGCTGGCGTTTCCACAGGAGGCTCCAGCAGCTGCAGACTATAATCTGCAGCGCTGACTCAGCTTTCTGTGGGTTTGCTGGACTTGTGAAGCCGAAGCTCCGTTTCCATTCTGACCGAACACGAGAGCATGCGCCGATCCGAGCACGCGGCCCCAGGTCTGCGCTTCTGCGCTGGCGCCGTCGGCACGTTCCTAGCGAAAGCGCCAAGTTTCACTGCTGCCACTGTTTGCGTTCCTGTCATTTGGGTGAAATTGTGCCTGCTGGGCAGAAAGTGCTGCAGCTGACACAATAATTTACACATTTGTGCTTCTGGGCTTGTTTTTCCTTTTCCAGTTATACTAAAAGCTTCCAGCTGATCCAAAATGCTGTAATTCAAAGTAACCTCAGTAAGCTTTACAGCAAATCTCACCATTAAAAAACACAACACACATCTAAACTTTGCATCAACTGAACCAATATTCGAGTTCGTCTACTATAACCTTCTGATATTAAATTAAACTAAATCAATTTTCCTGTTAAACTGAAGCTGGTGTTAATGTTCGTGTGTCACTGTAGATCTCCTAAACGCCCGAGCAGGTGGATTACCTGCAGGATTATGAGCTGCGTTAACTAAATAGTCCTACAGTTAAACACAAACCTTCACATCAGGCACGTTCACTGAGTGAATATCTGCTTCAGACAGGCTTCTCACAGATCTGTGTTCAGCCGTGTGACAGCTCAGGCACGATGAAGTTAGCGGAGCGTTTTTGGGATTTACAAATGCTTTTTCACCTTATGTGATTGACCTCTGTGCTCTGAGCATCTCTGCGCACACGCAAACATTCAAAGGTTTCACAGCCTCCCTTTAATCCTCAGTCAGAGTCGGTGGAGTCTCACCTCTCAGGATGTAGTTCTGGTAGTTGTGGTCGGCCTCCGCCCCGACTTTAATGAAACACGTCAGCCCGTCAGAGGCCACGAACTCTGGAACCAGGTCTTTATCATCCTACAGACAGAAAAGACTCGTTTAGGAGACCGTTCCAGCCGGTGTTACAGAGACAGAGCTCCTGCTGCAGAGGCAGTCACACTGCAGCTTGTTTTTAATACTGAAGTGAAGTCAGACCTTTGTTCCCTGAGGTTAGCCTGCAAGGCAGCGGCTCCTCACAGGTAACAACAGCTCGCACAGACAGAAGCATGAAGCAACACATTAATATGTCAACAGTTAATCTCAAGAACTTCAGGCCAGTTTATGTGCTGACCTTCAGAGTCTGTCGTTTCACAGATATGGCTCATGTGACTTTTGTGCTGTATGTGTTTATATTATCTTTGCTGATGGATTAATATAGAAACAGGATGTCCCCGCAGCTGCTTCTCAGGGTGAAGCCAGTTTCTCATATAATCAAACTCGTATAATAATCAAATATTTCCTCATATTTTGCCTTTGAAATGCCAGTGCTGCAGCGTGGGGAAGGCAAGTGTGGGAACGTGGTGTTGAAGTGTATTGTTATGCCTCGAAGTGGCCTCGAGCAGTAAGAAGCCACTCGCTGATGAACTTTGATCAGGAACACCAAACTCGGCTCCTGCAGTCACTTGTTTTCCTAACGTGTGCGTTCTTGTGAGTCTGACTTTGTGTCAGAGTCAGCTGCAGTTACAACATTCATGCCAACGGCCACTGAAGAAATCTGAAGACTGTCTCATAATTACCAGATATTACAGGAACCAGCAGCAGTGTGACCTGTGTGACCCATTTCCTTTAATCATGCAGGATAAACAGATCCGAGAGGGTTGTTCGAATTTTTGTTTGAAGCTTTAAACAGCTGGTTTGCATTTAAGACGTTTTTACATCATCGTAGCCAAAGACACTACATCAGGTGGCTGCCATTAATTATTTCCACTTTTAGAGGAGATTCTTTTTTCTAATGTTAATCAGAATAAACCTAAAAAAATCTACGTAGCAACCAGAGAAACTAAAACTACAGCCACAGAGCAAACAACAGGTGCAGGCGTCTCCCAGGCTCTAGCTCAGACTACTAGACTAGTCTCCAACCTTTTTTGCGCCACGGACCGGTTTATGCCCGACAATATTTTCATGGACCGGCCTTTAAGGTGTCACGGATAAATACAACAAAATAAAACTAGTACCGGTACTGAAAAAAATAAGATTTATTTATAACACACGTAAAAAGACCCAGGAAAACCGAGTTACCGATAAAAACGATGACAAAAATAACGCTGAAAACCGATAAAAACCCTGAAAACCATACATTTCAGACCTGAGCCTCAACTCTCGCGGCCGGTACCAAAGACTCATGGACCAGTACCGGTCCGAGGCCCGGGGGTTGGGGACCGCTGTACTAGACGAATGCAATCAAGACCTCAGCTGAAAAGTACAGTATTTTTTGGACTATAAGGCACATTAAGCGAAACAAAACAGTCAGATAAATCAACTTTACTCAACTTGTTCTTTTTGCTTCTTTTACTTCTGTACCATTGATTCATTAATGCTGAATTCTCTGGCAGCTGCTCTGTTCCCATGTTGTTGCAGTATATTAATGACTAACCTCGTATTGTGGATGGATTATCTCAGTTGTTCTCCTGACTGAAGTCTGGTCCGTTTAAAGCATCCTGCCATGTGATTGCATTTGTCCCTAACCATCGGGAACCCTCGAGTTCACTTTTATCCAGTGGAAAAGCGTTAGCGTTCATCCTCCAGCTTCACTGCGTTTATGTTAAGCTAACATAGCTGTGTTGCTAGCGATCACGTAGCACATCATTATATAGCAGCTAGCCCAACTTCAGTAACCCTACAAATGTCACTGCTGTTTAGTTTTCTGTGATCATTTATGGTGGAGGTGATAGCAGAGTTGTACGTTTGAATTTTTTCACAAATCTCTCAGTCAGAACATGCAATATCATGTTTAGGTGGAAGCTAGCGAGTTAACTTCCTGCCAACTTCTAACTCCATTAAATTGAATAAATTCTGTTTTCATGGATGCCTGGATGTTAAACTTAATTGTTACACCTGGTAAAGCAGCAACGCTGATCATTTTATTAAAGACAAAAGAAATTGCACAGGTTTTACCTTTCAGTGATGCTGCAGTGTTTTGGACCTGAAAGGACGGAGTTTAGGACCCAGATTACTCTGGGAGACTCCTGACTATGGTAGCTGTAGTGCTCTGACAATCCATCAAGCAGTGCAGCTTCGTAGCTTACCAAAGACTTACCAAAAATTTTTTGACAGATTGTTAAGCGCTGTGTAGCACATAAAATCGGTTCTAGGTCAGTGAGCACAACCAGAATTCATACATAAGGCGCACTGTCGATTTTTGAGAAAATTAAAGGATTTTAAGTGCGCCTTATAGTGCGGAAAACACGGTAAAATCATTTCACGTGAGTGTAAGCTGAGCTGTGCTTAAACGAGAAGTAAAGTTCTGACAGGTGAGCGTGTTACCTGGAAGAGCTGTTTGAGAGAGAAGAGGGACCGCCGGAGTTCTGGACCCTGGGAGTTGTAAAGTTTCTCTGAAACACAAGGACAGATGCAGGAAGTCACTTCATAACCAGTGGTGACATAAAAACGTCAATACTGTGGAAGTACCACAAGCCTGACTTCAAGTTTTAAGCACAGCACTTAACCTAACTTAACCTACAAAGCTTCCCTTAAACAGAGGATGGAGATGGGGTGGGGGGGGGGGCTAAAAACAACAATTTCCAGTTTTTTTACCCCCTACCACAGCCTCTGATTTTCTCACTATCAATGGTATGTTTGAAATGTAGCCGTTCAGAAGAAAAGGCTCATTTCTGATGACACAACAGTTTAAGTGAATCTAAACCAAAATATCGTTCAAATATCATCAATTGCACAAAATCCTCAAACACTCCTTTTACTTTCATTTAAACACAGTGAATCTCTGCAGAGAGCTGAGCAGGAATGACTGATTTCCACTTAGATGAACATTAAGCGTCTTTACTGCTCTTAAACACAGACTACACCTGTGCAGGTGATGTGCACGTACAGGTCTCTTTAATCCAGGAGGAGTGGTGCAGGTTTCTGAAATTTGAGTCAGGTCAGATCAGGACTCTCAGGTCCACGACAACACAAACACGAGCAATCAGAAAACAAACAAACCTGCAGTTCATCAAACAAACAGCAGGTGGTGCAAAGAAGCTACAGCAGAGGAGACCACACTCATTAAAAAGCTCAATTAAAATGTGCGTTTTCTGACTCCATTTCCACTGCTCAGTGCACCAACCACAAGCATCTTACAACCAGAATGAATGAGTGAGCCCCTGCAGTTTCAGTTGCATGCTCTGCCTTTAAGCACACTTTGGAATTTCTGTGTGAAACTTGACATTCTGCCCGTGTTAGCCAGTAACTGCTGTTTCAGTTGTAAACAGCACTCAGTCTATAGGAGTGAGCTTGCACTAGTCTCTGCTCAGTTTCATGGTCATGGTCGGTCAGCGACACTGTCATCCACCTGTATGCAAAGCTCCACCAAGGCTCAAATTTTCCTCCATGACAGATGCAAATGGCGTCAAAAAGCATCAAACTGATGTCTCACAATTTTTCGTTACCTTCTTCTGTGAATTTATGAAACTGTAACACAAAAATTAAAGATCAAAGTCAATATCTGGCTCTGAATCAGCTACAATGTAACCAAGACAGACTTCTCAGAAAATTTCATGCAAATCGCTTCATAATCCTAATTACAAACAAGCTGAACCAATCCCGTGTCCTCTTTGGTGACACCAATGACCCCATAAATCTGTGTTCTGACCTTGTTTTGGGGAGCCGGGAGAGGACTTCCTTTCTACTTTTTATTTATTTTTTTAATCTCCCATTAGATGGAGCCTTAGCTTTTTTCTTACAGCAGAACCATAATTAATATGTTCAGGTTTTACTGGTTTCCAGAGTCTGACTGGACCACTGCAGGTTGTGGAAACACTGCCCCCTGTCCTGCAGGCGGCCTCGTAACCACGTGTGAGCCTTCAGGCTCAGGCCTCTTGAGACTGGCACCAAAAATGAGTCAATCCCCACAGACTCCCAAAAAAACCCAACTTCAGCATTAAAAGGCATATTTATAGCCTGGTACAAAATAAATGCATAGTTTCCACTTTAATCACAACAGGACCTTTTTAAAAACACCTGTTTTGGTCAAATCTTAAATTTAAGGGCTTGGCTGCTTTGATTGTGCCGCCGTGATGATACAGGGAGCTGTAACTGCTACACCTCTGAACCGGGCCTCCACACCATGTTTTAGGAACAATTATCTGACAATAACTCTGCTTTCTGTTACAGCTCGTCTAAGAAGTTTGTGCTTCGCATGCACCTGAGAGCTGCGTGCATCTGTTATATACCAGTCAGACACTTTTGGTTGCAATGCGATTTGTGTGTCCACTCAGAGTACTGACCTTAAAGGTCAACACTGTCTGGGACATTAGAAACGTATCAGCATCGTGCTCAGAGACGTCTCCTCTATTCCTCAAGAGCTCTGGGAAATAATCTCAATCTGATGCTGAAGCTAAATAAACTGGAGACAGTTTGAGTGAAAGTAGAGAAACAGAACTGATTATAAGAGTTCATGAGAAACTGACTCTGGAACACAAATCAAAGCAAGGAAAAAAAAAAAAAAAAAGGGATATGAAACAGAAATAAATAGAAACACGCAGTAACCAGGGCCTATCGCAGAGGGAGGAAGTCACGGGAGGTGTATGTCGCTACAGCCACATAAACATAAATCACTCCTGAATGGCCCGCGATCACCAGCAGCCGCTCGTACACAAATACTGACTGATCGATTTTATACAAGTGTGATTGGCTGGCAGCTATGACATCTAACCAAAACAAGGAAGTTCAGTGTTTACACGTCAGACAGTTAAGAGCCTCTTTAATGATGAGGGATGTTTGCATGTTATCAAAACACAATCGTGCACAGAGTTCTCTTCAGACGGAGACGGATGTCAGGTGGACGAGCGTGGAGAGACACATTTCCTCCATCGCCCTCGGCGCTACAGTGACGCCAGCCCTGCAGAAATAACAGGGGCTTAATAGAAACTTGTGACGAACAGCTTTGCAGCCTGATGTTAAACGGCTGGAGAAATATTTCAGCGGACGGCGTGACATTTCTAAATCTGACAGAGCCATCCAGAAAAGCTGCTCGTCAGCACGATCAGAAGAAAGCGTCGCAGGAGCGATTCCCGACACCTGCAGGGAAAGTGAGGACACACACCTGCAACGGCCACTTTCATCGGTTTGCATCTGCACTGAGTTTGTACGATGTAATAGCCAGCCTGCAGTTGGCATGGCAACAATCACAACAACAAGATAGAGGATGTTGTGTGTTTGTTGCGAGTCCTGGTTTTAAGATGGTGACAGAGTTGACAGTGGGGTTTCCACCAGAAATATTATGAAGCTTTGAAAGCTTCTACCAGCTACCAGCACTACTTCGACTAAACTGCTTAATTTAAAGGTGAAAATCTGCTTTCAGTCACATCTTAATTGATTTAAAATAAATAAATAAATAAATAAAAAAATCCACTATGCAGGTGTCCAAAAGGCAAAAATGGCCACAAAATCTTGGACATGACTGTAATTCGGGCCTATTTTCTGTTGCGGATGCGTACAGATATAGAAGATAAACCTGAATGGTCACGCAAAGGGGGCATCTCTTATCTTAGCTCCTGTCTCTTTAAGGCGACACATGAAAAGCTCCAGCTGTTCTGATTGGTCAGCTGGTTACAGCATACTGTGACCCTGATTTCTTTAGGAGCTGCTGGTTGGTAACCAACGTGCACGATGATAGGAGAATCAGAGCCAGGACAAGTAACACCTCCTGTAGAAGTCCCTCTGTTACTCGGTCACCGATCTCTGATGGTTTGCAGTGGGATGATTTGTTCTTCCCCAAACTTTGCTCCTGTGTCTCACATTAAAGCTGCAGCTGGTGTGTTCGTCTTTCAGAGGCTCAACTGAAACTCCTCAGTGGGCAGAGGCGACTTATCATTTCAAACTAAATTACAGCTGACAGATGAATAGTTGGTGAGATTTCAGACAAACAGAGTGAGGGAGATTACAGAGGTGCAGACACAGGCAGGCGGGGGGAGGGGGCCGCTGCTGAGTTCCTGTCAGCGGACACGAACACAAATAAAGCTCAATCTGAGGAGCTTTACCAACGTCCGCCCCGACGGCCTCCTGCAGCTCTGAGGCTTAAAACAAAGGCTCCAATCAGCCCAGAGTCAGTCTGCACATCTGGGATGACAAAGATGGAGCTGAATGGAAACAAGTCCTAAAATATTTCACAACCGCTCCAGTGTTTCACCACAGAGCCAAAAATAAAAAAGATGACGTCAGAGGGGTGAGTGTTCGCTTCACCACAGAGTCACAGGAGCCACTCTAGCTCCAGTTTGCTGAGGGAACCAATACTGGTCTAGCTCTCGAAGACTGGAGTTGGACACCCCTGCCCATCAATAATACAAAGAATAACCCAACAATCAAATAACCCCCTATGAGCAAAGACTCTGGTGACAGTGGGAATGAAAAACTCCCTTTTAACAGGAAGAAACCTCCAGCAGAACCAGGCTCAGGGAGGGGCGGGGCCATCTGAAGTGACTGGTTGGGGTGAGAGAAGGAAGACATGCTGTGGAACAGAGGCAGAGATGAATAATAACTGATGATTACATGCAGAGTGGTGTGTAAGCTCATAGAGTGAAAAAGAAACAGTGCATCATGGGAAGCCGCCAGCAGCCTACACATATTGCAGCATAAGTAAGGGAGGATTCAGGGTCACGTGATCCAGGCTGTGCTCTCACCTATGTGTGCGTTCAATACTTTTAATTATGTACTACAAATATTAGAAGATGTGTCATATTTTTAATGACTGGCTGAGGAAGACCATGAAAATCAGACGCCGCCCTGTGTCACAGCTCAGGCCCAACATGCTCCTGTACTTGATCCCACCAACAATATGTTAGCCTAATGCTGAAGAGGCAGAGTGGGGAGCAGCAGGCTGGAGGCGTACTAAGAGCATGAATCCTGAACTCAGAGAGTCAGCAGAGAAAGCCAGGCTTGTTTACTGACACAGCGAGCTGCAGTTCTGTAGCTCACATTAAGACTCAGGTAATATTCTGACCCGGGTCAGACTGGGCTGTCCGCCCTCTGGAAGCACTGCACTTCACCGCTGCAGACCATTAACATTAGCATCCTGGCGGGAAACATCTTAACCTGGTTCGGGAACAGCACCATGCAGGACAGACGAGCTCTACAGAGGGTTGTGCGGTCAGCTGAGCGCACCATCCGCTCCGAGCTCCCTGACCTGCACTCAATCTACAGCAGGCGGTGCTGGACCAAGGCCAGGAAGATGGTGAAGGACCTCAGCCATCCCAACAACAGACTGTTCTCTCTGTTGAGGTCAGGAAAGCGATTCCACTCCCTGAAGACCAACACAGAGAGACTGAGGAGGAGCTTATTCATAGCCTCTCTTTTTTTGTTTTCTTTAGGTCACGAGCAGTTGTCCAAGCATTTCACT